GCTTACGCATCTTGCCGCGCATGAAGCGTTTCTGCTTTTCAAGAGCCTTGTAGGGACAGACCGCTTCGACACAGGATTTATGCCGAACGTATGTCAGGTCGTCCAAAGCAGGCTGAGCTGCTCCTCCCAGGCAGCCTGGAAACTGCTTGAAAGTGGCTTCGTCTTCACCCACGTATGCGGTGGAGAATGCTTGACTGCAATCTGGGCAAGGCATTCAATAGTTCACGGTGCCTGCACAGCTAGATTCGTAACTGCTCTTGGCAGAGTAAATCTCTCCTTGAGGGTTATGTTTGTCGCCAGGCTAGCATGGCAAGCCAGAAGACCTTCTCCATGCGTCCAGCCACTTGATGTCTGACGTGGAGTTCAATCCATATGATCTGACCTTTGAAGGTGACTTGGCCTGTTGCATCTGCTGGAACATGTGCGAAGTTTGTAGGTGGTAGAGCGAGAATCGTCGATTTCGCATTCATCAGTCGAGGTCGATGAGAGGAAGGATTGGTTTGTCGCGCAGCTTAGACTCGAAGCTGGTGTAAGCGTCTTTGCAATCTTCATGGTGAGGAATAGGTTGAGGGTAGCTGAAAGCTATTGTTTGTTAACAAAATGCACTACGCTAAAAGCTAGTGTAAAGATCTTTCGAGTGTTTTATTTGAGAGAATGAAAGTTATGAGAGGATTAGAAAGCTATGGAAAACTAATCAACGAGAGAGATCCACAACAAAGGATCGTAGATCTGAATCCCGCGGGAGACTTGTAGAGTGTGATAGAGTAGGTTGCGGTAGAATCCTACTCACTCCACGATCCAAAAACGGAACGCGTGAAGATTCGTCTAGCATTTATCTAGTAGCGTGGAAGTACTCCACGCTGGCTAAATATCTAGAGCGATGTTTCATCATCAACCTAGTATGACTTATGACTAGAGCGGTCATTGAGAACCCTGTCTCCAATGACTATTCGCGAAGGACTACGTCATGAGTTGAACTCAAACCCTATCTAGGATCGAGTCGCGAATAAGGCTAAGAGCCGTGTATTGCATTAGAAATGGCACAAGAAACATGAACAGCTCCAACGAGAGGTTGAACTCCTGTATGAACAAGCGGACCTGCTCCCAGAGCATCTCCTTGATACCATCTTCAAACGACCCCTGGAGGAACAGATGGCCAAAGGGCCGGGAGATATCAAAGCATGGCTGGCCAATTGGCTTCCAGTTGTTGACAAAGCAATGAGGGATGAGCATGCACGTAAGCAGCCTTCCCAATCAGGGTAACTATGCGCCGATGTGGGATTCCCATAGCAATAGCGGGCGATTTAGCCTAGCGTAGATAGTTAGTCGTACAGCACCCTCCGGAGTTTTGTTCAATTTCTCCGGTGGGGGGCTTACACTAGGCCCATCCTAAGTGGGCGCCCTCGTGCGCCTGAGGAATATGGGTTCGTCACGGCACCGTTCAGCGGATCGTCTGACGAGGTGTAGCCTTTAAAAGAAAATCTCGTTATTTTTTCCCTTCTTGTGTCAACAAGTCAAAGAGGAGAACCCTGATCTATCATTTGGAGAAATTGGGAGAGTATTAGGAGAGAGATGGAGGTCTCTCTCAGATTGCGAAAGGCAACAATACGCTTGATTAATTATTCAGCTCATCGACCATGTGCTTCCGGTTAATTTGATCCAACCGATACATTTTAGTAACCACTTCGATATCATAGTCTTTCACCTTACAGCTCTTCTTATTTCGAAATTGCGCGAAGGTCTTAACCTTATTAGGAATCCGATACATCATCTTGTCATCATCCCAGGGTTACTCGGCATTTTGTCTGTTTGGGTAAGTGTTTTGGCGATTAAGTGATCCTTATGTAAATGTCTACACACCTTTAGCTAGTAGACATAAGTAGACAAAGTGCGACTTTGGTAGACATTAGTAGACAAAGTGATACATTGGTAGACATTGGTAGACATTGTGAGACATTGTGAGACATCCGTAGACATTGTGAGACATCCTAGACATTGTGTGACATAAACCACTTTTACAAAGGAGCATAGAACATTTAGGCAACTCTGTAATCAGATATACATGTAGTAGCCTTAAATAGACAAAATGCCGAGTAACCCAGGGTAGACCCGAGGGGGCCAAGCTTAGCGCGTGAGACAATTAAGCCGACAAAAATGCACACCACCGATCAAATGTGCATCTAGAGGCGTATATGTCGAAACTATTATTATCCCCTCGGGTCCCCCTGACCCCCTACTGTTTTTCCTATAGTAATTGACCGTTTTGGAGGGACTGGGGGGCCGTCATTAATCTAAGATTCCCCTAAGATTTAACAGTTGGTGGACCGGGGGACCGCCGTTAATCTAAGATTCCCCCTAAGATTTAACAAAAATCTGCGGTCCTCCTGGTTATCTCCGGTCCCCGGTCCCCCTTTATATCCAGCTCGGCGGCGACTGAGCCTGTATCATTGAGACTCCAAGGACCAGGGACCCTTCCAATCTCTAGCCACTGAGCGGACCCAAAGACCTTAGCTAGCTAGCCTACACGGCGATTGAGCGTACCCAATCTCAGCCATCGATCATGCACCTTTACTTCATACCGCACCTTTACCTTTAGGTTTACTTCATTTCGCACATTCACTTTATCTGCAGCCTGCGCACCTTTGTTTCGAAGCTTTAGTTCATTTCGCACCTTTACTTCATGCCATCCCATCGATCATGCACCTTTACTTCATACCGCACCTTTACTTCATGCCATCCCATCATTGCTATCAGGGTTAATATTAACCAATACCTAACTAGTTCATTCCCGGACGGTTGGTCTGTGACATTTAGAGCATTCAATACCCGGGTACCCCAAATCACAAAACCCAAATGGTTGGCATCGAGTATCGCCGGCCGACCTGAGTCCACTGAGTCAAATGTGTTTTAGCCAACATGTGGATTCATGTGGCTCGCGCAAATCCGAGCTGTTTGCACAGCCCAAACAGCCGACCCAAACCCATTTGACTCATTGGATTCAAATTTACTTAAGGAGAAGAATTGCCACATCATCAATGACATCATTCTAACATCACAATAGGAGCGTTGAGGTTCTCTTTCGCGAGCAAGCATAGCCTAGCAGCGAGGATGGTCAACCTCCAACCATTTGGGTTTTGTGATTTGGGGTACCCGGGGATTGAATGCTCTTAGTCCCCATCAACCATTAGACACCTAAATACCCAATCCTGTTTTGTATATAGCAGAACACCCCAGTCCCCTTTTAGGGGACCGTGGTCGAATCGCCTGACCATCAGGCATTTTCTACCCTCACTGCCTCATAGGCGGAAAAGAAGTGATAATACTGGCTAGCTACAGTCGTAGGCTACCGTACAGTACTAGTTGGTCTCAAGGAGCAAACAGGAAACAACTCCTCCCTCGTTATAGTTGACGACTCCGCATCTAGCTAGTTACGGAATAGTAGAGCAAATCGATTGAGAATTTGAGGTTTCTGCCGTGGACATCAGATCATTCGGGTATGGCTTGTCTTGTCTGCTGAGTTCTCAATATCCTATTATTGCGTCCTGATTCTCTGCACTGGATGTCAACGATCAACATCTCATTTCCTCTTGAGATTGAACACAGCTGTATGTAGAATTGGAGATCAGCCACCAACAGATGTCCAACAACGGTGTCCATCGGAAAACTCGTCGACTTGAGGGCTCAACATACTACCCATAAAATAGTCGACCGAGCCCCGACCTGGTCGTCATCGCAACCTTTTGCTTTCCCCTACCGTAGTGCACCTCTATTCGCAAAAGTTCAAGCGATGGTACCGTTGCTAGGACAGTGGCAATTCATTTTTGATCCAATGGTTCTGTCGCCAACGTTCCACCCTTTCTTGTCTTTTCGAGATCTTTGTTTTGTCTGCTACAGATTGCTCGCGTGAATGACTAGTCCATTGAAATCTTTCTTTCAGATGCCGCATTCGTCTTCTTTCTTCTCCGAAGACGACGAATGTTTTCCAATATCGTCTTCCCGTGCTCTTGTCCACCTACCGGCATTCAAGTTGTCCTTTCCCGTCGACCTGGAATGTCTTCATTATGCAAAATTTTGCTGTTTTGGGGTGTGCTCGGAAAAAGTTCCCGTTCAACTTCGAGGAACGGATAGTATTGCACTTTTTGTCCCCCCCGACAACATCACCCACAGCGATGCTTGCTCCGTCGAACGTCGGCGGTTCATCTTCACCGCTACATGTACAGGGACGGTACCTCGCTCCCTACAGATGATGCCCTGATCTTCTGCTCGTTGTGAGCGCCTTTGGATCGAGATGCAGGTAGAGCCGGGGCTGCCAGAGCTCATCTGGGTGGATCTCTTGCTCAAAACGCCCCAGTTCAGATTATTCGTTCGCCCAGACACTCTCCTCTGGTGAACTCTTGAGGGTGTCGCAAATGAAGGCTCTGAGGAGTCATACTCAATCTTGGCTGAAGGCATGATCTGAGTCCTCTCGCGATGTCCAATGCCTTGGTCAAGTCTGGGGAAGCCCAGGTGGCCCGCAGATTGCAATGATGCAAGTCTTCCCTTGAGCGAGGAAGCGGCGGAGAGGGACTTGGCCCATTGCCCAAACTTCTCAATCTCCTCCTTGCGCTTGTGCATTGGAACTGCGGAAGGTAGTTCGAATTGGGCAGGCCGCCCAAGTTTTGAACTGGGTTCCTCCTGAAGCTAGACTTTGCGAAGTCCAACGAAAGATCGCGACTCGACTCTCAGCACACCGGCCACCGCACCAACGACATGTCAATCGGGAACGGTAATTTCCCTAGCTAGCCATCTCCGGTACCTACTGTCAAAGAAAGCTGAACGGTCTTGTCCATGAGGCAGACGGCTGCACACTGAGGCTTAAAAAAATACAGCCTTACTTGCACATACCGGTACGGCAGCTCGACCTACACCTATACTAAGACAGCAGACGAATGAGGCGCGGGTTGTCTCCATTCCTCTTTGCCCTGCTTCATTCACCGGAATCAGAAGTCAGAACTCCTGTCGCTATGGTGACTATTGGGATTAGATGGGACTACCGATGGACGGTTTTGAATGTGGCGAGAGACGCATGAAATGGTACTGGGGTACAGTACAGCACGCTCAATGCCCTTAGAGGAGTCACAACGTTTCAGAGCATTAGGGGGCCTTCAGACTCCCGCTTAGAAACCGACCACAAAAACCCACGTTGGTGGCGATCGATCTCTTTATTACGATCAGTCGCTGCTTCTTTGCTAAGCTTACGCCAACCATCGCATGAAGGGGAAGTGCCATGATACCGTGCATCTGAGGTGTTTGCCCCTCTTCTGAGGGCTGCTTTCAAAAAGGAAATGCAACCCGAGGTTATGATCAAGCTGCAATGGTATCCTCTATAGGAGCCTAAAAAAAGATGCGGCATTCCCCGCTGCCCGCTGCTACGTTCAGTCTCAAGAGCTCCTCTCTCCGTGAAGTCGCGTGGGAATCTTTGTGCAACCGAACATCCAATGTTCTGATCAGGGTCTAGTAGACACAACCCCAAACTGCACTTGTCAGCCTTTCTCGAGCCCTTCCTCGTTCATCGTTCCCACATGAATACATGCTCTCTGTGAAGGACAATGGACAATCCCACGGTGGAGAATTCGACCCAATCCAACGCGAGTCAGCTGGAGTGCGAGAGAGAAAGGGCGCCTTTTCGGAGAGAGCTCCTCTTCTGAGGTGTCTCAATCCGGTACCGAATACATTGTTGGTCTTTGCGGTATCATTTCGTCCTCCGGATGGACTCACGCCTTGAGCCTTACTCACGCCTCGAGCATTACAACACCCATATCACATCACATCAACAAACCTGAGGCATGCCAAAGGCATGCCAAGACCTCGCCGAAACCACGTCCTTTAGAACGTATCACCCAGCCAAAGCAATTCCTCGAACATGTATCCAACATCATTACCAAATTTATGCTGGGCCGACAATCAACTGGATTCTTATTATGGGTCGACACCTGGACGTCTGGTAGAGCCCGTGTGGCTTGATGAATTGGCAGAGCCGCCAGATCCACCATGAGCACGGAGGAGAGCAATCAGGTTGACAGAAGCATCATCTGTGGCACCACTTTGATTCCGAGAGTCTTGGTTCCCGGATGCCGCTGCAAAAGCACCTGTTCCGGCTGCCGCTGCAAGACCCAAGGCACCTGTCCCAGCTGCCGCTGCAGAGCCCCCGGCTCCCCGTAGCATGGACAGGAGAGGATTGACGGACCCTTCTGCCACAGTACCGGTATTTGAAGCTGCATTCCCAGCTGTTGTATTTGCCCCAGCAGCTGCCAGGAGAGCAACCCCTCTTTGGCCCTGCCCTACAAGTCGCAAGACATCGTCGACACTAAGGGTGGATTGCTGATTACCCTTTGTGGAAACAGATAACGAATTTAATGTCTGGCACAGTGAGGACGAAAAATAAATTGAGGGGGTTGCACAGACATCACCCCTTGCTTTGAAACAAACAAAAATCTGTTGTGCAACTTACCAGTCCAGTGGAAATCCTATCAAGCTGGGAAATGGGAAAAGCACCAGCAAGCCTCGAACCCGCCAGGAGCTGCTCCATTTGAGCAATCGCAGCTGATGGCTGAGTACTGGTTTGATTTTGGGTGAGCTGGATAAAATGCTGAGCTTGTGGCACCGACATTAGATGTCCTCCCTGTGCAAGCGTTTGCTGTAGCTGCGCCACTAAGTCTCGGTCGGAACCAATTCGATCGGAAGAGGATTCCAGACCGAGACGCGAAGAGGAGGGCCTGGCATCCGCGGACGAACGACCAGCGGCGGTACTGCTGCCTAGCAACGACTCGGCCGCTGCCGATGCTGGGGTCCTTGCTGCCACATTACCCGACAATAGCTGCAACGCAGAAGCAGCAGCAGCTCCTTGCAGAGGTGGGTCGGCAGGCGAATTGTTGGTCAAGGAAGCGCTCCCTGGTAACAATTGGGGTGGCGAAGCTGCAGCAGTAGCAGCCGCGGGAAGGACTGCCGACGTGGATATTGACGCTCTCCCAGGTGGTGCTGATGACCCCGTGAGCACTGCAATGGTTGACCTGGCCACGCTCAATTCGCCTTCCAGCTGCTGTACCTTTCCTGAAAGAGTCTGAACGGTAGCCTGAAGCGCCTGATTGGCTTGATTTAGCCTTTCAACCTGCGCTGCAAGTGTTTCTAGCTTCTCCTTCTTAAATTTTCGACGATTGCGTGCAGACTCTCTGTTCATAGCCAGCCGCTTCTGTTTGCGGAGGCGCTCCAGATTCGAATAGTCTGCTTCAGTCTTCATGGACTCTTCCTGTGATTCGTCATCATCGGATGATTGAGTGCTTGGCTTGGCTTCATCTTTGTCTCCCTCCGTCTCGTCTCGTTTTCTTTTACCTCCGTCTTTTGCTGGCGGTTTCTGATCCATTCTCTCCTTTCACTAATGCCTTTGATCTGTTGGAACTTTGATGTAGTGATGTACTTTTGCTTAAGGTATGTATATGTATATCAAGGCTGCAAATTTTTGGTATCAATAGGTATTAGTTTGTGTTCGAGGCTTCGGCTCCTCCTCTTCCTGTCCTTGGCGGAACTACTATAGAAGCCAAGAACGTGCCTTTACTACAATCAAAACAGCAAGTGGGGGTTGAGTGCACAAGGTGCTGAGCAAAATGCGAAGTTGCTTCCAATTGTGGTTGCTTAGAGTTCCGAACTGCTAGCTACCGGTAGCTAGCTATTGTGCCAATCCGATCAATCCTTGAGTTGTGTGCTCAAATCCTTTACGGTAGCTAGCTAGTAGGTCCTCTCCGGTCTTCCCGAAAAATGGTGGGGGCTGTCGCCCTTCGTGGCTTGGCGGACAATGGGGTACCAGTTACGACCCGAACCTCCTGAAGCATAAAAACGTCCAGCTTACCGACAGACTGGCAAAATGACAGCAGCTAAGTAAGTGAGCGGCTCCAAGTTCACAGAAGAGCACACGCTGAATATTGTGCACAGCACCACTATGACACTGGTAGAGAAGCGCTTAGAGAAGCTTGTTCACAAGCTGTCATACTAGTCTATCCTTTTCTGTAGAGTCCCACATCAGAAATAAATCAGAATAGGAAGGAATCAAGGTTTGACAAAAGGAAACCAGTAATTAACCAGTCTCAAACCAAAGCGAACTGCCCACGTGTGTAAGTAGATTAGTGAGGGCACCAAAGCGTATCGACTGCGTTGAGTGATGGAACATTGGTAAAAAAGGCTAAATATTTAAGTAAAATGAATGATCCATGTTGTTCCATGGGGTATTAATACTAGTAGTATAATATTATAGTATGCACCATTGCACCAAATTTTAATGCTTTCACTTATACCAGTGAGAACTCCAGTTTATTGGTGCATCAGTGACCTACTGGACCCACATTTTAAAGGAGAAAGCAAATCTTCTTTCCTATCTTTCATGGGCCCCTTTCTGAGCAGAGTTACATAGACCACAAAGCACAAACGAAATGGGACAACACTGACTTATTTAAAAGTATGTGCTGGGTACTGGGTACGTGCAAAAGGTGCAATTGGGTTGACTTTGGGACCACTTACACTCCTAAAAGACTGCATAGACAGGAAATGCCAGAAAGCTTTAAACAGTCAGCACATGCACAGAGCCTGCTACTAGTATACTGGAGTAGTCACTCTTTACAACAGAGCCTATTTTCCACATGCTGCAGACAATCTTTTTTAGAGGCGACAACGAACAGAGCGCTTAAGAGCGAAAACCCCGCATCCTACTGGCGAAGTTACTAGTTTCCACCTGTTCCTTTCGGATCGTCAAAGAGAGCTCAAAGAGTCAAAGAGTACATCTACTCGTAAATAGTTAGCAATAGCTTCGTAAATACACAAACACTTGCAATGTGCCATAAAGACTTAGTATTGCCAGTTTCCGTATTCCCGAAAATAAGTCCTCGAGTACAGGTTCTAAATCTCCAAGATCGTTTTAATTAATGTATGGCATAGTCTTTGTCTTGGATTGCTCTCATAGTCCTTCATCACCCCAATCTGATAGGCGACACTTCACTTGATTCGAAGTCTTCAACGGGTGGAGTTAGGGTTTACTTTGGTGAATCCTTAGGGATGGAGATGAGTCGATCTGCGCGCTGCAGGGTCTCCACTTGGATTGGCAGCTCAACTCGACTCGACTCGATTCGGTTGCGGACTGTCACTTCGGAACTTTTTTGGTTGTCTGGCTCTCCGTTCTGGTACTAGTACGATTTTGTAATGGAATCACTGCGTGTAGAGGTAGAAAATGGCGCCTGACATAACCTCAAGTAAGTTTGGTCCGCACCCATACGTACCGTACCGGGGTGCATGTGGCAGTGCATTTGTTTTTGAAACCGGTGAGGTGCAAACCGAGTGAGATCCACTCACGCGAATGCTTTCGCAGATTTTAGCCGTCAGTCACTCAACTCCCAAGCCGAAAACTTGATGCCGCTGGCGTCCTTGCACAGCTTCACATCATGCCGAGCTCTCCGTGGTACAGTACAGCGTACCGGTGGCAGTCCAACGGACGAGGAGCTGGGGGTGAGAAACCCCGAGAGTTGTCATACGATTTTAGCACCCGAGAGTTGTCCCCCTTTATTAACTTGAAGATTGTCTGGTACTAAGGTAGATGTGGTAAATTTATTTTTCAAAATTAAATTCAATTCTTTAATTGTATTTACCTGAACTACCTTACTTTGCTATCTTGAAGATCCCACCCCCTTTTCCTTCTCCTTTGCCTTGGATGTTGGTGACGAGTGATGCGGAAACCTCGTACAGGTACCGGACTCTTCAATATGTCCCGGTGGCAGAAGCTGCACAGGAACATTTAAGATCCACCCACCTTGAGAACTGCTTACAGTGAACCGTCGCCGCGTCGCCGCGACACCTGTTTCCTGAATTTTTTTCCAAGCAATTGAGTGTCCTTTGCTTCCCACGAGCTTGGCCGCATCAGTGCCGTCCTCGGCGACGATAAAAAGTGTCGAACAATCAACTCTTCAATAGTGAGGACGATCTATCTGTAAAACGCATGGCTACCAAACCCTTCGCCAAAAGCTTAGTCGCGTCACTTTTTCCCTTCTCCTGCTTCAGTCCATTTTCTGCGATCACACTACTAGTATTTATTTCACAGAAGATCTGGTGTCAGCTCCCTTTGCCGGTGTATTTTACTGATTTCTATCTATTTTCTCTTGTTGCACACACAAGGGAAAGCTACTCAAGTAAAATGAAGAAGACTACCAGTAAGAAGAAAACCATGCCAGAAGAGCAACATCCCGAGTACAAATTGACCGACGGCGACATGAAGTTTGACAGCTACAGTTGCATGGGACCTGAATTTGGAGGCGATGAACGCAATGTTCCATGGAAAGAACTGGAACGGGTAGAAACAGAGCGTCGAGAAATTCTGAAACGAGTCGAGTTGCCCTTTTGGCGCATTTTGTGTTATTGGAGCGGAACATGCTTGAAAGCCTTGGCTATGGACTGGTTGATCTGGGTACCCATTACGATCTTTGTCGCTCTTCGAATCCACGCTCGTGTGAGTGACACGGCGCCCGCCCTGGCCGAACGACTTGGAGACACAGATGTGGATGTTCTTGGAGGTTTTCTTTCCTTCCTGTTGGTGTTATTTGTGAATCAGACCAATTCACGTTTCTTCACAATGTATCAACTAGCCAAACGAGTTGCAGGTCAAATTCAGGATGCTGCTGGACTTGTGGTGACGCAGCTTCCCAGTGGAGCTGCCAATCGCTTGGTGCGATATATGAATGCTGCTCATGTCGCAGGATACGTCGGCTTGGGGGGACCCTACAGCAAGAAACATTTCTTTGACCACTACAATAAAGAACACAAGCTCCTGAATTCCTACGAAATGAAGAGAGTGGATATTCTTGATATGGATTCAGGTTCGGGTGTGTTTAAGGAACTCTGCACTTGGTGCCAACAAGATGTTGGTCGCGCCAAAAAAGCTGGTCATGTGGATAGCATTGAAGCCGCCGAACTGCACAATCGCATCCTGAATATTCGAGCCGCTATGGATGGCCTCTACGATTACACGGATCAGCCGACACACTTTTTCTACATTCACTTTTTGTGCCTGCTGTCTGCCCTGTATTTGCCCTTGTTTGCGGTTGACAATGCCTTTGCCTGTGGATGGGGTGATGACTCAGATTGGAGCATTGAATTGGTCAATGGCTTGATGGTCCTGGTTCAAGCCATTTTTGTGGTGGGTTTGAGATTGCTTGGTCAAAAGATGGTGGATCCCTTTGGACTGGACTTGGAAGATTTGAGTGTCATTACTTATGTGTCTACCACCATTGAAAATTGCAGAATCATCCTGAACTCCCAGCAGGAACAAGAGGTGGATGAAGCTGCAGAAACTCCAGGTCTCAACAAGATTGAACAAACGGTTTGAGTGCGAAAGCAACGGGAAGTCCGCGAAACCTTGTGATATTGGTATAAAACACTGAAAAAGATTATTGAATGGATTCATAAAAGTTACTAGAGCATTTCGGTTCTTGTCGTGTCAGCTTGCCAGTTGAAATGCAGATCAAACAATGGCTACCACCCTGTGAGCGGTACTGGTACCAACAGCAGATGGAGCTGTGCTGCTGTCCTGTCGTACTTTCAGTTAGTTGTTGGGCAGAAGCTTTAAAGAGGAAGCGGGTTGAGTCGTGTACTCGTTTGGGTCATGGATCTGACGCCATTGGGGATTTGAAGCCAAAGATACCATTACAGTCAACATTCAGATATATATACTGGGGGGGATTCAGGAATTCAGTAAATATAACAGCGAGAATAAATATTGATTTTATCCCTAACCCTAACTATTCCCGTAGAATTGTACGTGCTCTAGTACTAAAATAGGGTTAGAGTTAAAAATGTGGGAACTGGAGTATTCTTAAATATTATAGAGCGAATAAATACAAAATTATAAATATAAGCGAGCGTTGACTGTATTTGACACCACTGCGAAGATCCACCGTGCTCCTTCGAGGATCCGTGCAAAAGCCTCTCTCGGAACACAAACTCAAGTTCTGCAACAGCCCATCCATAGTAACCCCCCCGCTTATAAAGATGTTTCGCTCTCTTGTTTTCCTGCTTGCTATCGTTTCGACATCGGCATTTACCGTTGTCCCTGCAAATACGCGGTCGTCCCATTCTTCTTCGAGGCTCTACCTGGACTTGCCCGGAGATGTGGATCCCCTCGTATTGGTGGCCGGAGGTGTGGCGGCTATTGGTGCCGTTGGAGCAGCAGTGATTTCGTCCAAGCTAGAGGGTATTGACGAAGGTGGAAGTCCTACCCCATCTCCTGCGGCATCTGCCGACACAACATCAGAGGAAGTGGATCTCTCCATTCCATATGACGCAGCCGCGATGCTAGCGTACAAAGCGGCGGGAAGTCCAGGAGACTATGCGGCCTTCAAAGAAAAGTACGAGGAAGATGCAGTCAGTGATGTCACTGCCAAGAACATGGATATCTCCATTCCCTACGACGCTGCTGCCAGAATGGCTTATGAAGCAGCGGGTAGACCAGGGGACTATGCTGCGTTCAAAGACAAGTACGAGGCAGATGCTGTTGCTGATGTCATTGGGAAGAAGTAGATCCGTACGTACTGTACTCATAACTGATACAGTCCAACTTGGTTAGCGCCCGATCATGCTGAACTGCAGGGCACCAAGTGACTGCTTATCCAACCGAGCCAGAGATGTACTTTTCAAGAACAATGACACATGTGCTCCTATCATGATGCTCGGTCAATAGATACAAAGCTTGGATGTTGAGGATATCCGCAACGCAACATGACGATCAACTTCCTGGCCAATTCAGTAGTAAGATGGCTGTATAAGAGCGAGCAATCAAGGCCAAAGACGCTCGCCATCAAGCCAACCTTTCATAGCCCCCTGGTGGAGGTAGATAGATACCACAAGACAAAGACGGCAAAGCAAGAGGCGTGCACTGGCTAGCCAGCTACCTGAAACACCTAACTATAACAACAAAATCAACCTATTTGTATTGTCGTGGGTGGATGATTCTATGTCGTTGGATCTCATCTCAAGCAATGCCATGGCTGTTGGCTGTCCTAGATGCTTTCTACTGTACTTGGGGGTGTTCCGACATGGCTTGTATGACCCATTTCAGGATTTCAACCACCAAAAGCCCTTCAAATGTCAGTATCCTACCGTACAATTCAATTCCATCTCCCATGGACCTTGCGTGGTACCGGTAGCACCGGCAGCACTCCAAGCAATGCCCAAAAATGCTGACCAGAGCATTGCTTGATTTCTTAGAGAGTGAATTGGATAGTGTGTTTAGTGGTTCATGTCTAGCTAGCGGTAGATAGTGCTTATGCCCTGGCTGACCGCACTGAAAGAAACGCAACCATATCTGGCAGCAGAATTCAATACGGACGGTACCGGTACTTGCTACCAGGTACGTCTGTACCGGTACCCAGTGCGTTGATCATGGACCACACTTCCTGGCGTAAAACTCTGTCAGGGATGCCCGGTTCATTGGCAGCTTTGCTGTCTCCCGGCCACTGCGTCAGTCACGGTGACAGAAAAGACCGCAAAAAAGTGATCTGAAAGAGCAACATTGAAGACCCCTATGATCTCCCACCTTCGGTTTGTCACAACACTTCCGACCAGACCGAGTGTGAGTAAAGTCTGGTTGCGGCGCCTTCTTGTTTCCGCATTGGAATTGGGTTATTCGAGTCCAAGAAGAACAGCATCATTCCATATTGTTTAATAAAGGAAATTCGAGCATGAGTGCATCAGCAGGAGAGCAAGTGGTGGTTGCAGAAGTGGCTACCGAAGAGCAAGCCCGTGATCTTCGTGCGGCAATTGATGGCCAGCTCGAGCTGGTTCGTAGTCTTTCGATTGATGAGCAACTGGAATGGACTGTGGAGGAACAACTGGCTCAGATGGTGATGATTGTGTCGCAATATCCTGAAGGTGCCTTGCAACAAGCGGTGTTGATGACTCATCCTCCCAGTGCGGAAGAAGAAGGGGCCAATTCCGTTGCACCCCCAACCACAGCCACTTTCAGTGGTCGGTTACCCATTCACTTGGCCTGTGATACCAACGCGCCCATAGAGATTATCCGGTGGTTATTGGAACATGACGAACGCAAAGAATCCATACTGCGCAAGGATAAATGGGTAAGAGCTTTTTTGTCTTGTGCAGCCGAGTGTGGGAAAGGGTTCACGTATCACGTCCCTCATTTTTTGTTTGTTTTGTTCGGAACGTTCGAAGGGTGACCTTCCCATTCACACGGCATGCTCTCGAAAAGATGTCGAGGTGGTTCGCTTATTATTGGAAAGTGATAGCGACAAGAGCACCATAGTGACAAAGGATAACACTGGCGCCTTACCAATTCACATGGCTTGCAGATACAATGCCCCCAAAGAGGTGATTCAAATGCTGTTGGAAAACGACTTGGAAGGAAAGTCTCTTTTTGTGGGTGGTACCTATGATCAATTGCCGCTCCATGTCGCCTGTCGTTGCAATCTGCCACCTGCCTCCATTCAACCCTTGCTGGATTTTGATACGGATAAAAAGACCGTATTGGTGGAGGACAATGCTGGACGTTTGCCATTGCATGTTGCCTATCTTCGAAACTCTCACATGGAGGTCACTCGAATGTTGTTGGAAGCCATGATTTGCGGTCGCATTGAAAGACTTGGATTGGACTTGTGGAAAAGGGACATGGGGCGGATCTATACGAGTTTGAGTGCTCATGAACGAGATTTCAATGCCAATGACAAGTTGGAAATGACAAGGGAAGCCTTGAAAGAATTTATTCAGCGGGCATTTGTTTTCGAGCTGGGAATTTGGAAAGCCAGCTGTGTAAGAGGCTCGAAAGAACGGTGTCGAGAGGATTGTGAATACAAAAAGGAAAGACGCATCAAAAGTGGGGCAGAAATTATCATTCCGCATGTTGTATCTTTTCTGGAGAATGAACCCATTGAGAAGCTTGTGCAACAACTCACATAGTTGTGGAAAACACCGACCTACCGACATCTACAAGAAGAACAATCCACATTAGGACTGAAAGTTTGGATCTACTCCCAGCATCTGCATTTCTCCGCACCATGCACACCCACAAAAATGGCGTCACGCTATGGTAGATGCAGCAGGGTAGGGATCCATTGGTTTCGCTTTTGAAATAATGTAACCTTTAGAAATCTACAGTTTTTTGAAACGAGCAGCAAGCGTCATGTTTCTATTCTAGGTAAGATCTCTGCGAACCTACAGTTCTGTGGCAAAGGAAATGAGTGTCTGTTTGATTTCCTTAACAGACTCCTCAGCAAAGTTCTGGGCAATCCCTGGAGACACAAAATTGAACATGCAATTGAGTTCATCCCGAAATGTTACCGCGTGAATCATTGATACCGCAGCTTGACTGGGAGCATCGGTGCGCAGGGCGGCGCCGAAAAAGTATAGCTTTTCTACTTGGATGCTGTCACCGTAGGTTGCTTCAACAGGAGCCACGCCAACCGATGAGACCATGGTGGAATACGGTGGTAAGGTTGCAGGAGCATGCAGGAGCCTCCGTAACCATTCTCGAGGTTGTTGTGCTTCGAGTTCGATCAGAGTTCGACGGACAAACTGAGTCGATGGTTGGGCGACCATTGTCATCCAGTCTTGATCGTCATGTTGTCCGCAATCTTGGCCGTTGTATGCCAGACACCGGCAGATCCACACAAACACGCGTCTTCCATGTCTGCTGCGGCATACGCACGCATATTGACGGGTATCTGGACCGCTGCCACTATTGGTGATTCTTTCTTCTCGAGCAGCCTCAAGCGGGCTTTGAGAGCGGCAGCCACCAACGCGCCCTGGACGGAGCTGTTGTGTTCGCGGCATTTGGTTCGTAAAAGAGTGGTGTGTTCGGCTGACAGAGAAAAATGTGCCACGTTTATAACGCTGGGTCCACCAAAGCCATCATCGTTTGGGATGTTTTGCAACCCTTCCGGTGGTAGAACGGCCGTACCATCTTGCAGAGTAGGTCGTTCCTTCCCAAGGGCAGCTGTAAAATCCTCTTGGCCGTCAAAGAGTGGTTTTGGTGCGCTGTCTTTGGCATAGTCATCCCCAAGCAGTAATCTTTGCAGATCTGTCAATCGTTGTGTAGCAACTGAGTCCTTCTTGCTGTTGCCTTGCAAGACTTGCTCCAAATGTAGTAAGAAGGATCGTGCCACTCTGAGGGCTCCTGGTCCATCACTCAAGGCATGACACAATGAAAAGATGAATTGTATAGACTGTCCGGTTGCAGAGTTTTTATCTTCCTGCTTTATCCAGCATCTCACAGCAAAAGAGCCCTCTTCAATCGTCAGAGCCGTCGTGCCCATCTCTTGTAGCTTTGGGATCAAGTCAGGCAAATCTCTCCCTTGGGGTACTTGCTCCACTTGAAAAAGTTTAGTTTCTTTGCTGCTGTCGATTCCGACAAGGCCATAACGTTGTCCCAAGGGACCCATATCACCCTCCTTGGCAACCAATCTGACCTGCAGCTGCTCTCGTTCCGAAACACATCGATCCCAGGCGTCCCTCAGCTTGGATTCGACATCATCCTTGGCGCATGAGATTTTCAGCTGCATGCCCACATTACAGGTAGACGTCGCCAGCATGGACTCATAATCGTTCAGGTCTCTAATTGAGGAGGAGCTCATGGTTTGATGGCGTGTTACTAGTAGAAGAGCTGCTGGAAGTGGATGTTGTACTCGAAAATTAAATGTGGGAAAGATCAAAAAAAGATTTCGGGCAAAACACATTTTTATTTTATAGGGATGTCAACACATACATCACAAGAGCGGTGTCTAGCTAGCTAGCAAGCTACCGGTAGAACTTTAACTAGCTCACACCTCATACCAGTACTTATTTTGAAATCGCCAGACGCTCACTTTCCCATGGACAGGCCTGCTTTGAAAGCGGGGGCTTGCTAGAGTAGATCTAGGGAAGTTATATAAGGATGATGGCTAGAGTCCTGTCGGGATCCCAGCATCGCAGAGTTGGTTCCCTCGAAGATGCGCAATCGTTGTTGTCCGTTGATGAAAGACGGTGGACGAGCTAGCAGTATGTAAAAGCATGGTTTTGTAGAAGAGGGTTTGATGAATGCAAATACATAACTACATATTATGTGTTTCTTTGTCTGACAAATGGCTGGTCGAATCCAGGCAGGATATCCTGTGGCACACCTCCTCTTGCTTAGAAGAAAGCAATGACGTGAGAGAAAAGGACATGGAAAGGATACTTGGTCATGGTCGTAATTCTCAGGACATGGCTTCCCTCGGAGACCTCATCCGCTATGATTTTGCAAAGAGCCCCGCTCACTTCGACTGGTGGCTTCTGAATGCTGGGTACCTCAAGCTGTTGCCCGTCGAGCTCGAGGATCACATGCTGAAACATTGGCATTCTACGCCTCTTTGCACAGGAGTCGATGAAGCATGGTGGCTCGCAGAGAACCACAGGGCCGTTGCCGTTCGATGTAAAGGCCACAGATGCCGTGGCTGCATCTTCAGGTTCGTATTCCAATTCCTCCTCTGTTGCATTTTTGTTCGCTCCTGGGCGCAAGCGTTTCGTTCCGTCTCCAAGGGAGAGTCTATAAGCATGCTTGCGGTCTGTATACCCAAGAGGCAGATTTCGCTTCTCCAAGTTGTCGACTGCCCACTCCGGATCATCCGCAAAATGAGCACCTCCCAATCTCGGCATGGGATCAGCAGGAGCAAACGTGTTGTCTCCCTCTTCGCTATGTTGTATGGCATCTTTCAGCTCGAGACCCAGGTTGGGCAAATAACTTGTAATGCTGTTTTTGTCCAAGATTAGAGCGCGTCGAGAGTGAGGTAAGGAGGCAAGACGTCAAACGTCTTGATGAGCCCTGGACTTACCAGTTTGGAATACGATTGCAGAAAACCTCTGAACAGAAAGTGGGCGGCGGCAACGACTTCAGTGATAGGGCCCGTTGTTTGCTTTGCTTCTCGCTAGATTGAATCTCGAGCATCATGTCCTCGATTCCGGTGGGCGAGGAAAGGATTCCTGCGGCGCTTCTCAAAGCACGGACGATGGGCAGTGCATTAAGTTCACCTCGCAGTTCATGAGAGCGTGTTCCGCCGTCTGCATCGATTTGGTTGTGTTGTGATGAGACAAGTTTCTCGTCAGTGATCAGTTTTGCAGGGCACGAAAGCGCAACGACAAACACTGCGGAAACAAGCAATGGACCTAACTTACACCAGATATGACGACAACCGTAGAGGGCACCGCAAACTTCGCCGCCACTAATAGCTTCCTGAGGAAAGCTGTCAAGGGAGACGTTCTTTGCAGCCAGCTTCTTCGCAATGAAGGGTGGGATTTGATCACATGGTGCTTCGTGTTCTTGTCCACAATCAAGGAGGGGGAGCGCCTTCCCAGTATCAAATGCTGCATTGGAGAAAGATTGCAAATGATCCAAATGCCAAATAGAGCCAACAGGATCAACTCCAACGAAGTCAACCATGGGAGAGTACTTATCAAATATTTCAGACCAGAAAGAATTTCTTCCTTCATCCCACTTTTTCTTCCAGTTGTCAGATCCAATGTAGTCTTCTTCTCTTTGCTCTGGAATGTTTTCCATGTCGTCCCATATCTCCGCGTCGTGTCCCACTCCAATGCCAATAACTTTCTTCTTCTTTCCCCTGCGCGATCGACCGTGTGGTCCACCTCGATTGACCAGTATCATGGCCGGGTCGGAAGCGAATGCCCAGCGCACGAAAGCTATTCCAGAGAAACATGTCAGGATGAGGGGAAAAATCATACGCTCGCGGTAAAGGATGTGATAGTCCCATTCGGTGTTGCCTACCTTCAAATTGAGCCGGTGGGTCATTTTGCATGGACTCATCGAGATCCCATGCAATGACATCGATTGACTTGCCAATCAAGTTGGAGACACACACTATGATGAAACAACGCCAGGGATGAAAATATGAGCAAGACGCGCCAATGCGAAGATAGTGGCTTCAATTACCACTTTAGGATCACACGTACTGTGGGCTTTCTGGGGACCTTCTCTACTGATATCATTATCCTGGGCGTGGTTCATGACCTGAAGCTTCAGGCCAGCTGCTTGTGCGATCGGACGCAAACGCTGCTCTGTCTTGAATGGAAATGTGTCTTTGTAGAACACATCCCGTCCCGCCATTTGTGCCGATCCGATAAAAGCGACTCGCAAGGCACAGTCCTCGTCATGTTGGGATTTGCTTCTGCTAGCGTCATGACAGAGAGCAATCTTTCTCGACAGTCGTTTGGTCAGAAGAAGCATTGACTCTTCACTTCCTCCGACGGGTGTTCCATTTTCAAGAGAACGTTCGTCACCATGAAAGAAATCGAGAATGTTTCGTTCAGCATTCTTTGCGGCCAAGGCAATTGGATACCACGGCGAGTCCTCCTTGGGGAGATCGGGGGCAATGTGAACTTCCATATGACGCCGAATACTCAAATGGCGCGACGAAGTGGAGCTTCCCCACGAATGAAGGAGCATGGGCACAAGCGTAATGTGGAACAGGCCAATGAAAGTCACAGCCACCACGATCTTGCGCCATTGATGATGAACAAGTGGTGGCATCACAACCTTGCGGGCCCGCTTCGTCTTGGAGAAAGAGTCCGTCCTCGTCACATGCCTCTCATCTTTGGTCTTTCGATGAGCTAGGTTCATCATGGTTCCTCCCTTCGGAATTGCAGCAAAATGCTCCATTCGAACGAACAACGATTGGATCTTGTGTCCTGTGAAGCTTTTTGTGAGATGCTTGAGGCGTTGGTCCAATCCATAAATCAGATAACCTGAAGTTGAGTGCTTTCAGATGGATCCATAGCTGCCAAAGATATGGATTCTTAGGGTAAGTTATGTGAAGTTTATGTGATATACAGTGGGATAGCTGGAAGTTGTGAGCTTCGACGACGATGTGAAAACCACACGACCACAGAGGTCGAGAGGCAACGAGATTTCATTTATTCTGAACCCTAACGTACTAACAAAGATACCACCGTCGATGCTGCACGACATGAGAATGCATGGAGGTGGCCGCTGACCCGCCATGCCATTGTTCAATGGTAGACGCCGGATGCCTCTGAAATCCCCTCTGAAACGACCAATTTGCTCTCCTGATCTGATACCGGTGTTACCATGAGCGGTCCAACAGCAGAAGAAATTGCCAAGGCGATGACGGAGGCAGTCGAGTTGAACGACCGCCTGAAGGCAAGGTTCAATGCGACTGTTGCTTTTTCCGTGGACGGTTCCGATCCCTTCATCCTGAAGTGTACCAAGAGTGGTAAATCTTCAGAAAAGCCAGATTTACAAGTCAAGACTTCCTTGGATGTTCTTCAGGCTCTGTTGGCCAAGAAGATCACACCCCAACAGGCTTTCATGAAAGGCAAGCTCAAGATCAAGGGCAACATGGGGCTGGCCATGAAGTTGCAGTTGGTTCTCGATGCGACAAGAAAGCACATGGGCTCTCAAACAGCACGTCTATAGTTTGAATAAGCTTGAACAGATAATATTGACTGATCAATCTTATAATAGAAGGGCGCGACTACATTGATTTGCAGAATCTTCTATCAGAGCGAGCTGTAGGAAAGCAACCCTAAGCATTCGGGTTGCCAAACAAGGAAAGTGATCTATTATTACTTTAGTGCGAGACACTGCCTGAATCACACTGGTTACATCCATCGTTTGATATCCGGATGAAGAGGACCACACCCATCGCTGCCACAGCTCAGCATCAATCGTCATAGTCAGAAGCCTACAAGTTCCAGCACCTGTCTAGGACTTGCCAGCCTTCTTCTTTTTCTTCTTGGCGGCCTTGCGGGCAGCTTTCTTTTCTTCTTCCTCCTTGATCTCTGTTAGGATCTTCTGTGTTTCTTCATCTGGCTGCTTCTCTGTCTTGAAATAGTCTGGCATATCCAGTCCTGTGACTCGAACTGTACCGCTGGGAAGCAGCAGAACTGTGCACTTGAAGTGTGCTACCAGTGCCCCGCTCTTCTCGTGCAAGGACGGATACATGGTCAAAAGTTCGTGTTGAACGCATTCTGGAATGCCCAATCGAGCCTGCCTCACATCGCTCAAGTGACGCAAAGTGAACGGAAGTGTTGGGAATTTCTTGTCCACTTCGGCCAGAACTGCACGGCTTGCCTTGACCTTCAAGTGGTATTGCTTCTCTACATTTCGTTTGAACACTGTGGTACGCATTTCTCCAGGTCGAACCTTCCCGTCTCCCGTGCTCATTGCAACATCCACGGCATACACTTCCGCCTTTTCAAAGGTGCAATCTGGAAGCTTCTCTTCTTGTTCCAGTTCGTTGTCGTTGGGGTTTGGTGATTTCAATGCCACCTCTTTGACACCATCCAGCACATACCGTTTCATTTGGTGCATTCGGACCGAGCTAATTGGAGTGACACCATAAGCATTGGCAACCCGTTCCACAGCAGCCGTAACATCGGTATTCTTCTTTCCGGCGGCAATGCATCGTGCAGCGACCAGCATTGCGTTGTATGCTGCCACGGCAACATTTCCGAGCTCATCCGGGGTGGATGCAGGAGCGGCGTCTGCTGACTCGGGCACAACCAGAGTGTGGGCTGCCACAGCAATATACCCATCAATATGGCAACCTAAATCAATCTTGACAATATCACCAGCTTTAAGTGGTTCCTGGTGAACGAATGGATAGGGATCAGATCGCGATAAATGAGTAGAGGCACACAGTGAGCGAGGATCCATGACCAATCCATCACAGTTATCAGTCTTTGGAAAACAAATAATGTTCAGCACACCATCCCCTCGAAAAACGAATCATACGACCATGCAAACAGAGGGCCTGAATTCGCATGAACCAATACGGGGTGGGCACCTAGGAAGAATCCCAAACAGCAGAGAGACCAAGGGACCAGACCGCAAAGCAGCCGATACAACCAAGTTCAATCTCCACCACGTGAGATCTTCTTGAGTTTCTCTTCCTGCCAATCCACCCATGGTGGGGTCTGTGTCCCCGTCATTGAACGCCCCATTCCTGCACGAAGGCAAAGAATGTCCATCTTTGGGACAAAGTCCCGAAAGAAAGGGCCCTCGATCGCTGGTGCACTTGAAACGACCATGACAGGGTTTCAACAAAAGCAACAGAACACATACATACAAGCAAAACTAATCGAAGCCAATCTGCCAAACCGACAAAACCCAATATCCTGGTACATTTACAACAAACATAACGTACACAACACTTCGCCAACAAAGATGAACGAATGGGGGTGACTTACAAGCTCTTCAGTAGCTAATGGGGAATGATTGCAGACGATATCGTTGACCGAGACACAGACTGGAAAGGCAATTCCTCGATCAATCGGTTGACCATCAACCTTCTTGGTAAAGAGCTTTTGGGCCTGGGAGGTAACCACAGTGTGACCAAACTCACAAAGATCAATAATCTTGGCTCCAGGGACACATTGACCCACTAGACCTTGAAGGGCCAGATTGACAATCTTGGCAGCTTCTTGGTACTTGGTGCAGACATCACTGTTATCAAGAATAAGTTGGGTAGCAGGGAGTTTATCAGAGATGATTGTTGACAATCAGGCCAACGGATCAAAAACAGCCAAGAAAGAAAAAAGGTTAGCGGAACAAAGTCACTTTGAAAATCGACAAGCATCATGTTCAGGAAAGTCAATCACCAAAACCCGCCACAAAACTGACATCTCCTTATGGCACATTCTGCTCAAAGGATCCTAGAATGCCTCTATGTTGCTCGGGCTTTTGCAAGGCCTATAATGAGACAATATTGGCTCGTACCTGTTGGTCAGATCCGTTACTTCCTCCTCTTCTTCTTCCTCCTCCTCCGCGTCGGATCCCTCGTTCTTTTCTTCCTCACTCATGTTGCTTCAGTTAGTTGTCTTGGAGCAAAACTCTAACAGGCTCTTTCACTCAAATGCGGAAGCCACTGTATCGGTCGCTTTGAGTGGTGAGCAGCTCGACGACAGGAGCCATCAATCGGCCCAGCAGTCGTCACCATGAGAAGCTCGTGGCGCCGTTACTAAAGCAGCAACCAACCTCAACGAGAAAGGAGGTGAAGCCTGTATTCTGAGGTTAACCCACAACCCCTCATTCCATCATCAGACACCTTGAAATAGACTTTAGACTTTCGGTGCAAAACTATTGCTGAGGAGTTCAACCTGTCCAGCTCATAACCAAACCCACAGCCGTACAAGCATTTTAGCTGGTTGAGCTAGCTAGCCAGGGTGATGCTTGGTACCAGGCCGGTAGGTTTGGATCCGGATTGTTTGGTGGGCGAAGACCTGGCCTGGCACCGATTCAGTAGACGACAGGTTTTGTGATGGCTTTGCCATCCACCAGATCCTTTTTAGCAGGCTGGTTGCTATGGTTAGCAGCAACCTGCAGGTTGCAATCTTTCTAGTTGTACCAGTAAAGCTGGTGCAAGTACATACAGATAGATAAAGAACGCACAGCTGGGACTTTCCCAACTTGCCAGTGGGATGTGGTACCGGTATGCCTGCATGCCTACCATTAGCTGAACTACCTGGCTCATCTGGTTCAGGTGGCACGAAGTTACACAGGCAGGAGGGGCTTCCACTAGAAGGAAAACTATTACTAGTAGTTATTAGTTCCTTGCTCACCTGGTTCTTCAGGTGGCAAAAGTTTAACTGCGAGGCTGCCAGTTCCCCTCTGTTTTAGCTACTCATCTTTTCATAACCTATCTATCTGCTGCCGTTGCTGTGGTCCTTCCCACAACCTCTTCCACAACCAAATATTGAAGCACTTAGGTTGAGGGTGGAAGGGTGGTTGGTTCCAGGACTCCTGGCCGCTTGCGGACAGTTGGGTTTGGGCTGATGTTGAAGTCTGAAACATGCGTCATTTGCGCGCCCGAGGCGCGAAGCCGAACGTTTGACGGATGATGCCTCTCTCAAGCAAAAAGAGAAGAAAAATCTTTCTCGATTTCAACCACAAAAGGAGCATCATCTCAAAGCTTCTACAAACTAGCTAGATAAGAACAGCGGGTTTCTCATCAATCAACACGAAACAGCCACCATGACAGAAGAAAAGAAAGAGTTGGAGTGGCCCATGGACAAGGTCCGCCAGACCTTTATTGACTTTTTTGTCAAGAAGCACCAGCATGTGTTCTGGCCGAGTTCTCCCTGTGTCCCCGTCGATGATCCCACGTTGCTCTTTACCAATGCCGGTATGAATCAATACAAGCCTCTGTTCCTGGGAACTTGTGATCCCACCTTGAAAATGGCTTCCTTGAAGCGTGCCGTCAATTCGCAAAAATGCATCCGTGCTGGTGGAAAACACAATGATCTCGATGATGTTGGCAAGGATGTCTACCATCACACCTTTTTCGAGATGCTTGGGAACTGGTCGTTTGGAGACTACTTCAAGAAGGAAGCCATTGAAATGGCATGGAAGTGCCTGACAGAAGAGTTCAAGTTGGACAAGGAACGGTTGTATGCCACCTACTTTGGTGGCGATGAGAGTTCTCCCTGCGACGACGAAGCCAGAGAATTGTGGTTGCAATTCTTGCCTCCTGAGAGAGTCTTGCCGTTCGATGCCAAGGACAATTTCTGGGAAATGGGAGCCACTGGACCTTGTGGGCCGTGTACGGTAAGAAAAGGAGAAAATGTTGTGACAATTGTTCCGTAGACTTGTCAAATGTATTGACCAAAAGACTCACTTTTCGTTCTTTTCTGTTTTGTTTCGTGTTTGTTTCTATCTAAATCAAAGGAAATCCACTACGATCGAATTGGAGGTCGCGATGCCTCCAAATTGGTCAATGCCGATTTGCCTGATGTCATTGAGATTTGGAACAATGTCTTTATTCAATACAATCGGGAAGCCGACGGCAGCTTGAGAAATCTGCCTGCTCAGCATATTGATACTGGTATGGGATTTGAGCGTCTCACCAGTATTCTACAGGGTGTGGACTCGAACTACGATACCGACATTTTCATGCCGCTCTTTGCTGCCATTCAAAAGGAGACCGGCGCTCGTCCTTATGCCGGAAAGGTTGGTGCCGAAGATGAAGGCTATGTCGACATGGCCTACCGTGTCGTCGCCGATCACGTCCGGACGCTCTGCTTTGCCATTGCCGATGGCGCCACTCCTAGCAATGCCGATCGCGGTTATGTCTTGAGGCGTGTCTTGCGTCGTGCCGTTCGGTACGGACGACAAAATCTCGGTGCCGAACTGGGATTCTTTTCCAAATTGGTACCCACTCTAGTGGTCCTCATGGGCAACACCTTTCCTGAACTCAAGACAAAACAGGAACATGTGACGGCCGTCATTCGAGACGAAGAAGAATCCTTCAATCGGACCCTCGATAAGGGACTCCAAAAATTCAACGAGTTGGTGGAGAAAATGGGAGATTCCAAGGTTTTCTCGGGCGAAGATGCTCACTTCTTGTACACTTCCATGGGTTTCCCCGTCGATTTGACAGAGCTCATGGCAGAAGAAAAAGGATTGACTATCGACAAGGACGGTTTTGAAAAGAAAATGCAAGAGGAAATCAAGTTGAGTCGGGAGGCCCGTGATGCCAAAATGTCGGGTGGCTCAGGAAAGGATATGCGAATGGTTGCTGAACAAACCTCGCATTTGGTATCCAAGGCTGTCCCCGCAACCGATGATTCTGCGAAGTACGTCTGGGACCAAAAGTTGGAAGGATGCAACGTGGCCGCACTGTTCTTGGGACGAAACGAAACCGAGGATAAGATCGGTTTTGTCGAATCGGCGACAAAGGAAAGCAGCACTATTGGAGTTGTCTTGGATAAGACTAGCTACTACGCTGAATCCGGAGGACAAATTTATGACACTGGGTCCATCACAACAGGAGGAGCTACAGTGCGCGTCGACAGTGTGCAAATATACGGTCAATTTGTGGTGCACGTGGGCGAAGTGACCGACGGAACCATCACCGTGGGTGAAACTGCTGCTTGCTCAGTCGATTACAAGCGACGATCTCCGATTGCTGCCAACCACACCATGACGCACGTTCTTAACTATGCCTTGCGAAAGGTACTGATTGAAGACGGAGACGGAAAGGCTACCACGACCGTAGACCAAAAGGGTTCGTTGGTCGACGAATCCAAGCTGCGATTTGACTTTTCTTGGAATGGTCAATTGTCACCCGAACAACTCGCCAAGGTTGAGGCCCTGTGCGTCGATCGCATCGAAAAGGAAGTCCCTGTCGATGCGTATGTCGCACCACTGGACGACGCCCAAAAGATTTCGTCGCTGCGTGCTGTGTTTGGAGAAAAGTACCCTGATCCTGTCCGTGTGGTCGCTGTCTCCAACAGTCCCGTTCCCGAGATGTTGGCCAATCCACAAGATTCTCAATGGAAAGAATACAGTGTTGAATTCTGCGGAGGGACCCACTTGAAGAACACCAAAGAAGCTGAGGCCTTCGTTCTCTTGAGCGAAGAGGGTATTGCCAAGGGTGTCCGTCGTATTGTGGCTGTCACCCAGAAGGATGCCAAAGAGGCCATCAAACTCGCAGAAGAATTTGAAGGGAAGCTAAAGGAAGCCGATAAGATTGACGGTGAGGCCGCTTTAGAAGCCGAATTGAAGGTGCTCAAAGCCAGACTGAATGAGTTGTCCATTTCATCTGTGAAGAAGCACGCTTTCCGCGAGAAAATCACCGAACTGACGAAGAAAGTATTGGCTTTGAAGAAGAAGAAAGCGTCTGGTATGACAGGCGAAATTGTCGCCAAGGCCGCTGAGGCGGCCGCTGCCACAGAGGGTAATAAGGTCGTAGTACGATTTGACTTTGGCTGTGACGGCAAGGTTTGGAAGGCCGTGTCGACCGCATACGGCAAGAAAGTCAAGGACAAGGCTCTACTGCTGGTTACGGCTGATACTGATGCAGACCGTTTCATGGTTGGCGCCGTTGCTCCGAAGGGAGTTGACGTGGATTGCAAGGCTTGGGTGACGGCTGCTACGGAAGGAACTGGCGGCAAGGGCGGCGGAAAGAAAGATTCGGCACAGATGAACGTCCCCGGCTTAAGCCATATTGATGCTGTGCTAGAGAAGGCCAAAGGGTTTGCATAAACGAGAGAAGGAAGCTGCAGGGCGACCAAGCGAAAATGAACCCAGCTCAAAGCGAAGAAGGACCAACGCATTCTGCGACCCGATCTCTGACACGCAGCTAGAAGCAACAAAATGAATAGGATACACGTATGGTTAAAACAATGGTTATCTGTAGATTGGGTGACGCGACTTCTCTTGGCCGAAGTGGAGTAAGATATGGTAGTCAGTGTAGTTTAAAATCACACTAAAAGCTTGAGAGTTCCTCCAAGGCGAAATACGAATTGAACTGACTCTCTTCGTGTAAATTCCACCTTGCAACTCAAGAACGGAATCATCATGGCAAGCCAGTTTCAATTGCTGAGCGATCTTCCTCACGGTGGGCCTTTCTTGGTTGCTTCTTTTATCGGGTCCGCGGAGTCACCTGATGCCATGACTAAGCCATGGCATCAGGGCATCAGGTGATCGCCCTTCTGCCATCGTCGTCTGCTTCGAATTCCTTCCCAGCACCAACCGCCCTGTGCTCTACCTTTACGATTCGCATGCATGTAGATTGCGCTCGAGTTGTGCCATTGACCAATGCCATGGAGCATCTCTGCCCCGGCAGCAGTACCAGCATCGTGCGCTGCAACCGGCAAAGCGCACCTCCTCGACAGCTTCCGTCCATCCTTTGATGACACTCCAATACGAGAAGATCCGGATCGCACTTCTCACTAATGGTCAAACTTGAGCAGTTTCGTTTCCGAGCTTATGTGGGCCAAAGCAAATGAGATTATCGTCCAATTGCTGCCAAGTGTGATCGGCTTTCGAATGGCTTGCGCGCAGGGTACGGTACGAGGAGACTTTTAATCGAATGATTCGATGGATTCAATCGGTCCTCAACGGCTTGATCGTGCACTTTGAAGACAACAACCAGCAACAGCATCGCTTCAGCATCAAGTAAGTCTTGCCGTCAAGTCCACGAAGAAGACAGGTCTTTCCCATAAAACGAAAGAAGCAAACTGAAGCAAATCAAAGAAAGAAACACGAGAAAGAAACACCAGCAAAGTAGGAGCAAACAAAGAAGAGAGAAAGAAGCTACAGCGAAGAAGAACCCACGCCATCGAACCCGAATCCAATCGAATTGAATTGAATTGAATCCACGGATACCGTTGCACAAAAGATGACACAAACAGAGGAAGACAAGAAGAAGGCCGAGCTGGAGGAGCCAGACATTGTGGTGGCTGATGCAACGCCGATCAAGACCAATGAACCACCAATCCCACCCGGCCATGCTCGATTTTATTGCAGCAAGTGTCACACGGTAGGTTCTGTCCTGTGCTTGCTTACTTGTGTTATATTGATGGGAATGGTCAGATAGAATGGTCAGATAGATGTTCTCAAAATATTTTATTTCGTGGTTGCAGCCATATGATTTGCCAGACAAGGCAACGAGCTGGAGATGTGCCAACTGCATGACTTTCAACTCAACAACCCCAGGAGAATGTGAATGGTGCAATATTTTGTAAACGTTGACATGAGCATGTTTGACCACAGAGCCTGGTTCTGATAAGTTTATGCAGATTGTGTGGAGAAAAACGATTTGCTTTTCGCTGGCAGAGTGCATCAAAACAGGGAGAGAAATGCACTAATAACCTACCAATGAAGAGTTTTGATCAATTCGCTTGAGATAGTGACACTTTCCAGGTCTCCATTATTTGTTGACATGTATCTCTGCGGTCGACTTTATAAACATCCATAATTTTGTTTCTATAGGAAAACATAAGACAAAAAATTCATTTTTTGCCTTCTGAACGAAAGAAAACTTTTCTTCTAGCTACTGGTGTGGTGCATTGGTGCTCTTGAATGTGTGATGAATCGAATCTTTAGTATGGCTTTCTTCATGCCAGGTATGGTACGGTACGATGTACGACTATACCCAAAATCAGGAGCCGGTCGGATGAGAATGGAGAGCTCAATTAAACACACCTTGCTGATGCATTTGAAAACTTGCATTTTGAGGCTTAGGCGTCCAAGCAAGTAAGTGTTGACACTGATCGCAAGGGAGTCTGGATGAAGCATCAAACATACATTTGTAGAGAGTTCCAATGGCAAGGGGGTTGTGTTTCCAAAAACTTTCGCTATTGGCAATGGCATTGTTCAAAAGCTTTGCCATTGAAGTCACAACCAACAAGAAATTCAATTTGGTCAACAAGACAAACGAATTTTAATTTATTTAAGCAGACATCAACTCTACCGTACTGTAAGAAAGCTCCATTTCGCCAATCCATCTCTCAATAAACTCTGGTCTTGCGTTTGATCATTAATCTTAATTAATCAATGTAATCAGCCTTGATCTTTCGGCCCAAATGCCAGGCACTGCTGCCAAAGAGAGCAACATTGACAGAGCAGAGAGTGTAATTGATGGGTATCACCAAGAGGGAATATCGCGAAAAGAAGAATCCTGTCAAAGTCAAAGCGGTATATTGAGGCAAGGATATTTTGTCGGTGGGTCGATCCAATTCCAAAAAGGACGCTCCACTAATCAACCATTTGGACATGGGAGCCCAAAAATGAACAGTAAACGGACCGGCATCGGCAGCCGCCACAGTGGTCACCACACCCAAGTTTGCCTTGGTCAACATTTGACGGACATGAGGACCCGCCAAAAGGGATCCTGCCAAGACCGCACCGCCGACCATGGTTTTATCTCTCAAATCATCGACCTGTTTCTGCTGTCCAGTGGCAGACTTGTGCTCCAGAGCACGTCGCAATTGATTGAGTTGCGCGGCCACATTGGTGACGTGACATCCCATGAGCAACAAATTGCGAGGTTTCACCACCCAAGCCCATCGGGCAAAAAGAGTGCTGTACACAATCAACACGGGAGTCATGGTCATGGAAATCACTTCGGGACCTTGTTGGGCGGCATCGTAAATAGCAGCACCACTCATACCCCAACCGGCAAGGGCGCCCATTCCACCCCAAAATTCAGCACTGTGCCAGATGCCTGGCTTGGCAGCTTCTTCTTCCACCTTTTTGGCCACGGGTTCCGCCTTGGTGGCGGCTTCTTTGGCCGTGGTTTCCACTTTGGTTTTGCCGTCGCTCAAAAATCGACGAGCCACAGCACGAGATTGGCGCAACGCCACAGAGGCCACTCGACGGGAGTTAGCAGCTGCAAACATGGTGGAGATGGCAACTCTTGGAGATCCAAAGAAAAAGTAATAATCTACCAAGCTGCGATAGCCAGTAATTTTATATTTTGCAATTGACTGCTGGCTGCTGGAAGTTGAAAATGCTGCTTCCTCCGACGAGAAAGTATCTTTGCATTCATTCTTTGCTCGAGAAGCGAATGGATATCAGAGTTCTGTTCAGTCACGTTCCAGTATCATTCACGGATTTTTCGGACGTACTTCACACCGAGTTGGGACTGGTACGGAAAAATATATCGGACCACCGGTAGCCAAGCTATCTATTCGCAGCTTTATCAAGAGTGGTGGAAGATCTAGCATGAGAATGCTCCTCCATGCGAGCTCATTGAAAGAGGAGCGACAATTGGATCTTCTAAAGATACTGCTCATCACGGCCCGGAGCCTGCTTAAAATGATCCAATCGGCTCTCTTGTCGCGGCGTCGATGCGTCCAGCGATTCGGCCGCCCCCAACCGTGCCTGATATTCAGTACCATTGCAAACGAGCACGAGATCTTGTCGTGGCCAGAAACAATGAACTTATCGAACGAAACGTCATCGAACACTCATGTAATGACATATTGGCCGCAATTACCACTTGCATGTCTCGTGTAGATATTATGTAGCTGCACATGTGCTGCCACCGAGGACACCGGCGCGGCAGTGTTTCAAGAGTTGTTTTACATGTTTGACATATGATGGTCTGGTACCGTATCAACCGGTCCAAGTGCAGTCGCTCGTCAGAACATAACTTTCTTGTACTGTAGAGTAGGGCAAACATTTGAATGAAACAACAGTTCTGGTTCGATTCGATTCAAACCACCTCTTGCAGCAAAACCTCAAAACATTCAAAAAACGGATCATTCATTCGCCAAGAGTTCAGATCCTTGCTTCGCAGCTGCGCGCCTCTTCCTTCACTTCGACATTTACTTCTCAGCGACCTCTCTTGTTCAAACAATGACATCCACCGCCAGAGACAAAAGGTCCTTTGCTACGGAGATTTCCGTGCTCCGGGACGATGCTGGGGCCGACGCACACAAGGAAGCACTCCTTGCAATCTACGAAAAACTGGATGTAGATGACGACCGCAATCGCTCCACATTGGTCGAAGAAGGTCTTGTGGCAGCCCTAGTAAAAGCATTGGAGCGTTCCTACAATAAGACAACTTACTTTGTTTATTTCGCATACAAGATCTTGGCCATTCTTCCAGGTTCGTTCGATGACGATCCATCTTTGAGGAGTCCTGCCAATGCCACGGCCATTGTCAACAGTGGGGGGCTGCAGCACGTGTTGGACTTTTTGGATTCCAGTAATGAGGATGAGATAGTGGATACATTCTACGCCTATCACGGCCTGTGCGTCATCTTTGCAGTTCAAGTCGCTCTCAAAGAAGACAAGGGGCTCTCTTTGGCAGTTGCAAAACTTGTCATGCCAGTTCTGGTGACACTGATGGAAACCCATGGATTGGATGCTGAAGAACACAAATCATGCGACCTTTTTGTGTCGGGATGTGAAATGTTCATGATTTGTGCAAGGGCTATGGAAGGCTTGGTGGAATCCGCCCATGCTGAGAGAATGGTGCAATCGGCATGGTCGGGTATCACTTACCATAAGAATGACTCGGAGGTCCAAGAAGCGGGCCGGGATTTGCTGACACGCCTTGTGGGGCCTGAGACGGCGCTGGAAATGATTGACCATGCCGAAATGCACCACTGTGAAGACGCCGAATGCAGCTGTGCCGCGTAGATACGGTAGGCCAATCTCTGCCATCAGCACCTTTGGATCTTGACTCTCACTCCACTGAGTCGAGTCACTCCAAGTACAACGTATCTTCATCATCTATCTATAATCGTTGAACTCAGTAATTACCGGTAGCTATGTTACCGTTGCCGGTGCCACTGCAGCATCCATTAGATTGAATAGTGTTGCTGCCCTGTTAGCTAGGACGCTTCATGTAACTAGTAGCCTTCCTGCTGTCCAAAGAGGGTTGTAGAGTGCGAAAGCGACGACTAAGTCCTTCTCCTACTCATCGTCTGGAGTTCGTACCGCAGAACTAGTTTCTGTTTGCCCAGGTTGTTGGGTGGAGCCTTGAGCTATGCATAACCTTGTCGCTTCCCATTGTTGCTTGCTCTTCAACCAGAATCTTTATTCATACTGTACACTGTATGCACAACAAATCATGGTGCTGTTGGCTTCATTCTTTGGTTTCGTCACTCTGTGGTACGGCCCCACCCGGGGTCAACCAGCGCCCACCCAAGCCCCCTCCAGAAGCCATTCCAGGACAAAACTTCTTTTCAGGGCCACGCCTCTAATTCGAGTCGAAGAGCGAGGCACGGCTCCTCAGGGCCACTGAACTAGCTAGCTGGCTTGTCGTAGACGCTGCTGAAGCAGATAATTAACGTTACAATAGCTGCAGCTGTGATGTGCGAGGGCCTCTATCTCATACGATGTAAGTTGTCGGATCCCCCTTCTAGTATTAAATGTATCGTTTGCAGTGGATACTTAAACCCACATGGCGGTTGTGGTAGAGTACAGTGATTTCTTCCGTCGATCTCGGTTACCGCTTGTTCCAGAGATTGGAGACGCTTCGACGGAATCCCTGCAGTTTGTGCTTTCTGGGGGCTGGAAGTGGAACTGAATCCGAGTGCTTCAACTGGTGACGAGCTAATGGTGCGGGGCTCTTGAAAATCTCTTCTTTGGGCCAAGTCATCTCGATCCCCTCACCATCATCCGGAGGAGGAACATTCTCTTTCGAGAGCTGTTCAGCGGGGATTGTTTTCTTACTTCGCCGATTGTTGCTTCTGCAGCTTCCCTCTTCCTCCTGGTCCGTTTCGCAAAAGTCGTGCTCGGATTCTTCTTCGTGCTTGAGTCGCAAGGTTTTGCGCTGCTCGGCCAACTTGAGAGCCTCCTTGGCCATGGTACACCAGCACGTGACAAGGTCCTTGATAGTCGAGGCAGATTTGGATTTGATTTGCGAGGCGAACTGGCAAGATTGTGTAAAGACAACTTCCGAAGTTGCAGTGAGCGTGGAAACGTACTTGGACTTGCCCGATGCATCCTTGACCTTTTCAGCACGGATGATCCATCGCTCCAGCACGTAGAAGGTATTACTAAAGGGAATGTCTGTCAGGTCCGTCCGCGACTCCATGACAATGCAAGTCTTGTGGAAGAGCAAGACCCGTTGTGTTTTGCGTGTGGTGGCATATAACGGCCCGATAAAGTTGTTGGTTTTGGCCTTGAAGGTCAAGACGCGTCCTTGAAAGGGTGCTTGGGATTCGGCAAGCAAAGACTTTAGCACCAGGGCGCCGCTGTTGCTGGGCTCGTTGGCCACTTTCGAGTCTCCCTTTCTGCCATCATTCAGCGCAGTGGGGTCCTCGGGACCCACTTCCTTCCACTGTCCGTAAACAATGTCGAGGTCGCCTCGCTGTTTCTGCAACTCCATAAAGTTGTAAGGTGCGTCGTCGGCAAAGAAAACACGGAAGAATTCAATGGCATGAAGACCGGGGAAAGGAACATCCTTGACCACCGAGTTTTTCAAATGAGGGTAAGCTGCTTCCAATGGCTTGGTGGAGGGAGGCTCTTTGCTTCTGGGAGATGCTTTCTTCGTAGGCTGTGGTTTTGGTTCCTCTTCCTCTGTTGCAACTGACAGTGCTGTTGTCTCACTTGCAGCAGGCGGCGCCGGCGCCTCAGCTAGAGTGGTCGCTTCTTCTTTCGCTGCTGCTACTTCCAATGCCGTGGAATTGGTGTCTTCGTCCAAAGGAGGCGTTGCGAGGCGCAAAGAGTTCTTGCCAGCGTTGTCTTCTGCACCCTCTAGAAGTAGTGCCTCGTCCGGTGCTTCCAGCTCCAATGTAGGATCATCAGGGAGGTCCTTGTGACATATTGTTAAAATGCAGTTTTCCCAGGAAGCAGCCGAGTCAGAAGCCGCGTTCTTGCCGTTTCCATTGCAGTAATCGTAGCCAGCTCCCACGGCGTGGAGTGTCCCAAAGACTGTCACAGCCCCCGCCACAAACAAAACTGGATGTACAAATGCCGTGGCCAGGACAACCATGGCAATGCCAAACGTCGGTCCATCCATACGAATAGCCTTTAACCAATTGCTGGAATCTAGATCGATAGGGTCAAAGTACCCCCCACTTACAACGGAATCACCGTCATCTCCTGCACCTTGACTCGATGAGCGCGACAGCTCATTGCTGCCCAGCCATTCCGAGGAGAATAGAAAGGCTTGATACGGGCTGCTACAAGAATTGGCAGGATCTGCCGAAACGCTTTCCTCCAGTGGCGGAGCACCGCTCAGAGTCTTCTGCATGTTTTCCAGCGAGGCGGAAGAAGACAGCGTGGAGGCGGATGTTGGAACTTCCTTGTCAAATTCGCTCTTGTTGTTATTGTTCTGTTGATTGATTGCTGCTGTCAACGGAGCTGTCGATACTGTCAACTCGTCTTTGGCATTGGGAGACATTGGAGCTACAGGAAGTTCATCTTCTGGTTTTGTTGTGATTAGGGTCATCTTAGCACTTTAGAGAAATTATTTGCGTGGTTTGTTAAGCAACTTGTGAGCCCTTCTCGTTCCCTGACAGCCTTCAAAGCGATGACAGAAAACGGGAATCTCTGCAAGTGGTTTGTTGATTGTTCGTGCAGAATGAAGACTACCGACTTGACTTGACTCAGCGAAGCGTTACGTTTGAAGAGGAAAGAGTTTGCAAATGTTCCTGAAATTTCCCAGGTACAAAACACTGCGCACTGCTTACTCAGCACCCCAACAGCTTCCTCGCTTGGACAGAGGACGCCAAAGACTCCCAAGAATGAGTGTCAAGGTGCGCACAACCCACTTCTATCGATACTACCGGTACTGTACTACTTACTCGATCACCCTGGCTTGCCTGGCTGCAAATCAAAGGCGCCTTTGACTGCGAGCATCCACCACCGTCACTCATCCCGCCACAACGTGAACGGCAGTTCTGTCGATTTCGTGGCGGCGAAGTAACGGCAAAATTTGACTCGTCCTGCGTTTGCGTTGAAACCTAGTTTTGGACGTTTTTGGCGCTGGAAGCATTCTAACCTTCATGGATGAAGACAAACATAATGGTAATAAAAAGCAGCAGAGATGGAAAGCCATGCATCAGCTTAGGTCTAGACCTGATGCTCCTGGTTCCACACTGCCTGAACCGACTCCTGACACCGCTACACCTAGCTAGACCCACGTACCGGTGCGGTCTCACAACCAGACTTACTCTTGGACTTACTGTACCGCCACCCATTGAACTGGTCTTGGTCCTCAGCTGGCCCAACACTGGCCCAACTTTAGCATCATTGAATCAATCAAAACCACAGCCAGCTCCAGGACTGTGCACCTCTTCCATCACCAGAGCCAAACGAGAAAACAAGGATCCTGGATCCATCCCTGAGCCACTACCGGTACCATGCCAACCAACTCCTGGATTTGTACCACTGGTCCCACATCCAGCCCTACACCTGGTTCCAACATCTGGACCTACCATGGTCATGCCGTACTCCAGGTTTCACTCCCATCGTACATGCACTGACACAACGTAGTCTCAGACTGGAGCGAGGCATCGAATAATGCAGTAGGGATTGTAGAGGGATTGTATAGTACATTACCGTTTGCTACCTGTACCGGTACCGGTACACTGCATTGGAGCAAGTGTGAGCCCAGAATGTTAACGGTCCCATCAAGGGTTCCGCGCCCTCCTCAAAAGCAATGACTGCTTGAGTGCTCCTCCACAACAAAAGATCGATTTGCTCTTGTGAAAGCATTCTTGTCGTGATTGTCCTCTCCAGACAAGCCAAGCCATAGCATCCTCTTTATTAATACCGACAAACAAAGCTAACGCCATCATCTATCCATCCACTATCTGTCTGTCTAGCACTAGTTATTAATTAATAGTTCAAGATGGGCAATTCCAGTTCGGCGTTGCCGTATTCGATCGACAATCAAGTGGGGTCCGATGACTTTGGTTGGAACATTCACCAGGGAACCAAGAAATCGGACAAGTCTCCAGTATCAGTCTTTGTGGGCAAGAAGCCGACCCTGATCAAGACCCCGGCCGACAAATCCGGTCGTAATCGTGGCATGATGCAGCTGCAACCGGCTCTGCATCATTTTCAACAATGCAAACGAGTGCGCCATCCTCATATTTTGGAAGTCTACGCCACGCTCGACACGGACAATCCAGATGCCGATTCCAGTGTATCCAGTGGCGTGGATCCCAAAACGGCCACGGGAGATCTGATCATTGTCACTGAACCCTGTGTGTCGTTGCAGACTTGGTTGCAGAATAATCGACCATCGGACGAACAGCTAGCGTGGGGTCTGCAATCCATGATCCAATCGCTGCACTTTCTCCACAATTCGGCCAAATTGGCGCATGGCTTGGTGGCTCCAACGTCGTTTTACGTCAATCGAGCCGGTGACGTAAAATTGTGGAATTTTTGTTTGGCCACTCCCATTGGAGACAATTTGGGACCAGATCGACATTTTCGAGAATGGGATGCTGTGCTCTGTCCTCCGACCTATCGATCTCCCGAGCGAGTCGAGCAGCGATGGGAAGCCATTCAAACTGCCGGAATTCATGCCATGGATAGTTACAGTCTGGGAATTCTCATTGGAAATTACTATCAAGCGGCAGGACATGCCAACATTCCAGCGCCGCTCCAAAAAGCCACGCAACGATTGCAAACACCCAATTTACGAATGAGACCACGATTGCAGCCACTGCTCAAGTGTCCCATCTTTACGTCGCCCTATCAAACGCTACAATCGCAAATATCCGAAGTATCCATCCAACCCGTCGAACAAAAGGTCGTTTTCTGGCAAAATCTGGGAACACAAATGCTCAACACGGGTCCCAACAGTGGCGTGGTCGACCAAAACATGGCAGTCTACAAATTGTTGCCATTGATTCAAAATGTCATTCAAACCATTTGTACAAATGAAGCAATGATGTCCCAAGATTTGTACCGAAGAGAGGGTAAGTTTTGTATTATAGTACGGGTACATCAAGGCTGGTGCACGTCAAATAATAAAGCAGCTACTGACTCTTTTATATTTTCCTTCCTTTACAGTTCTGGCGGTGTTGACACCTCTCTTTTTCATTGGAGAAAACTATCTCACAGCTGATAATTTCTCCAAAGAAATGAAACCGCTCATTGGACTGCTCTTTATGGTCAAAGATAGGGGCGTCCGTGGAACACTATTGCAAAAAATTGGACTTCTCACCAAATATCTCGATGCCAACTCTTTGAATCAACGAGTGTTTGAGCCAATGTGCAGTGGATTCAGTGACAGCAGTGCGGCGCTTCGAGAATTGACACTCAAATCGACGCTGGGATTAGTCCCGCATTTGACGGCACCCAACTTGGAAAAATTGACCCGTTACTTGGTTCGATTGCAGGCCGACACGGAAGTTAGTATCCGAACCAACACGATCATTTTCATTTCCAAATTGGCGTCGAATCTCACTCCCATGGCACGAGAAAAAATGATTTTGCCGGCTTTTGTTCGGGCGTTGAAAGATACGTTTGCTCCCTGTCGGTTGGCGACACTCCAATGCATGACGGGGACCTTTGAGTTCTTTGATCCCCAGGGATTGTCCAATAAGTTGTTGCCATCGATCACGCCGCACTTGCTGGATCCAGATGCCAATGTTCGCAAGGAGGCTTTCAAGGTTTCGAAAGCCTTGTTGGTGCGCCTGGAAGCAGAAAGCGACAAAATGACAGCAAAAGAACAGGCCGAACGGGCGAAAGCGCAACAAGCGAATGGTGTGAGAAGTGCTCCCAGCAGTGGAAACGCTCCTGCTGTGGCAACAGCCACGGCCACCGAGAGTGCGGGTTATTTGGCTGGATTTGCATCCTGGATGGCGTCTTCTTCCCTGCCTACTACCTCGTCATCTGATCCCATGTCACCCCAACTCACGGCAGCAGCTGCTGCTCCCGCGCCACGTCCACCGCCTGCACCCAACAGTGCTCCCTTGCCGCCAAGAGCCATGCAAGCTGCGCAGCAACAGTATTCCGCAACGAACAATAGCACCGCAACTTCCTTCGCTGCGACGAACAAAACCATTTCAAACACGACAATTACAGCTGCTAGTAGCAATGACGGCTGGGATGATGTTGACGATGGTGGCGGTGGCTGGGGAGACGATGACTTGGACATTAGTGCTGCTGAGCAGGATCCGTTTGCTTCCATTGGCAAGAAGACACCCACCGCAACTGCACCAAGAGCGTCTGGCCTTAGCATGGGCGGTGTCAAGAAACTGTCCGTGCCCAAAAAGACTGCAGCCCCCGTTGCAGTGAGTAAGTTATCCATTGATGATGATGATGATATCGCCGATGGGTGGGATGATTTTTAGATTAGCTCATTGCCAAGCAAGAGCGTACACACCTTTTTTAAAATAGTAATGCAATGCCGTGTTCACGGAAGAAAAAGATGCCTGGCTGGCCATTGTTTGGCCGAAAACAGTCCTACTGTAAAAGACTGCAGGCAGTGCTTGCTAGTTCTGTGGCTGTGACCTATGTCGAATAGCATGATGCTCCTTGCCAACCATCCATAGCGGTACCACAGCGTACAATGTTGGATTGATTCGATTCGTTCGCAGCTTTCTCTTCTACGATTTTAGCAAAAAGTGACTAAACTAAGTTTTGTTTACAATGGCTTATTATTATTAACACAGGCTTTACTCTGTGGTAACTTTTTAGGTTATTTGAATTTTTCATCCCTGCTCCCCACCAATTGGCCACAAGGTACATGTGAAGAAGACACCTGGAGATCAGAATCAACCAAATATATCAATTTCTCCACTTTTAGGTGTGTTCAACATAGAACAGATGGTGCCCAACCAACTTAATCATAGTGGACCACAACTTCCATGTCATCAACCACTGCAAGAGTTGAGAGGCTGAATTCAATTGAGTAAAGCTTGTCGAATCCACTAAGCTGAATGGTTTTGGACGAATCAGCTGTGTATGTATGGCTGACAACTTCAATCCCATTTGCGTCATATCCTCTGACAGTAACCTCAACAGGGTTATTGAGGCTCCTTGGAGCGGCCAAGAAGGATGTGAGGCTCACTGTAGCCCCAGAATTGGCTTCTAGTGCTCTAAATGCTGGCAAGGGTTCGCCAAAGGGCCAAAGGACACCATGGTTGTCAGGAGATCCAACAGCAGCAAGGGCCTGATAGCCACTGTCATTTGGATGGGAAGTGTAGGTGCTGTACTTAAAGTTGTCATTGAAGTACAGATCAGGAATTTGTTTGCGGAAAATTCCATTCTGACGCGATCCCATTGCAGGAAGGGTATCAAAGGTAACAGTAATTGCCTTGGGAGCCCTGGTTGGAGATTGACTTGGAGAACCTGTTGGTGCAACTGTGGGACTTGTTGTGGGAGCTGACGTTGGGTGGGATGTGGGTGTTGCAGTAGGGGTTTGAGTTGGAGACTCAGTGGGTTTCGCTGTTGGAGATGCTGTGGGAGTTGAGGTTGGTACCACAGAGGGACTTTCACTAGGGCTTGTGGAAGGTTTGTCGCTAGGAGAAGTACTTGGTGCAGCAGATGGGTCAATGCTGGGAGCGCTGGATGGGACAACAGAGGGGGCAACACTGGGAGCGCTGGATGGGACAACAGATGGGGCAATGCTGGGAGTGCTGGAGGGTGCAGAAGATGGTGCAGAAGATGGGGCAATACTGGGAGTGCTGGTGGGTGCAGAAGATGGGGCAATGCTGGGAGTGCTGGTGGGTGCAGAAGATGGGACAATGCTGGGAGTGCTGGAGGGTGCAGCAGAAGGTACAATGCTGGGAGTGCTGGATGGAGCTACAGAAGGAGCTGAACTGGGGGTTGCGGAAGGTTTTGCAGATGGAGTTGCAGATGGGAAAAAAATCTGATTACAGTCTGCATCAAACAGCATGGCTTCACCCCCTTGAGGATTTGGGACAATGCCACCAGGGACACCAGCACCCTTGTCCATGTGAGTCTCCACAGCATTCTCACTTACACTGATTTTTATGTAGATACCATCCTGAGTTTCTTTACAAAGAGTAACCTTGTTGGAAGCAGCCCTGAGGTATCCGCGACCTTCAAACTCTTGACCTAACACAGGGCTGGCAAGGAAGATGAGGGTAGACATGATAGAGGCAGTAAACTTCATTGTTTTCGGAGTTTGTTTTTCAGTTTGTTAGGTTTGGAAATTGTGAGCTGAAGATTGGAGCAACAGAATGAATCCGCATTCCGCATACGATCTACTGGGACGAGGTCGAAGCGAGACCTCTAATAAGTGGGTACCTTCGCCTAACCCAAGAGTTGGTCGCGGGTTTGAAGGGCCTACTGGTGTTGGTACGATGTACCAATGGTCTTACGAAAGAAGTAGCAACTGTCTTTTTTGAAATTGTCCTTTATTGAAAATTACAATCAGTTTTAATTAATTAATTCCTCCAGAAAAAGCATAACCAGTTGGTATTGAATCCGTTTAACCATCGGCTGGATAACAACGAAAACCCAATGTCGGCTTGGATACCATCTGGTGACGAAACACTGCAGAGCTAAAAAGCCCACAGCCCACAACCCACAACCCACAACCCACAAATGAGTCGAGTCGAGGCTCCGTCCGGCGGAATCACAATGAAAAGCCCTCTTGGCACGATGTACGATACCACCATTCAAGCCCGTGCAAATCAGTACAGCGCTTGTACAGGCATGTACCATCTTGAAGGCAGTTCCAATCTTGGGGGTCAGCCCTTGCTTTTCGTCAAGGTGCCACTCGGCACCAGAACTCTAGCCTGAAGGCTTGTCTCTGTCAATCCCAGTAAAATTATTTAGTATTCTCACTTTTGCTGCACTTGATAAATTGAGGTTACGCGCACACACGTACACCCGTACCGGTACCGGAACAGTTCGTGTCCAGGTCCTCGAAAAGAGCCTCGACCATGCAGACGAGAAAGATGGATCGGAAACGCGCGGGGCAGCTACTGTAATGCAATTGGAAACTTTATAGACTCGACTCGAGTGACTCGGCACCTTCCCACCTTTTTCATTTTTTGTCTCAGACCGTATTTAATTTGTGGAAAATCTGTCCGCTAACCGTAAAAATCGAAACATTCGGCTCAACAGCAGCCGCGGACTTCTGTTTGAGCCGTTTCACTCGCTGCCCAACCCAACCGAGGAGAGACGCGAGGGAGACCCACTACAAAGAAAGAGACTACTATCCAGAACATGTCGTACAATGGAATTGGTTTGTCTTCTGTTCGCGGGACGGCAACGTCTGGTCATGTCCAAGCAAATCGGGGCCATGTGAAGGCAGCTCGTCGCCGCTGGCAGATGGAGCGAAATTCCTCGTCATCCCATCAAGTGTACAACCCAGTTTCGGCATTGGCAAGAGAACGTGGTAATCAAGAGATCCAAGAGCATGAAAGAAAAAAAGCTATTGAAAACCAATTGCTGTTGCTGCGTGATGATCTAGAACAAAATGGGTTTTCAGAGGTGGAAATTGAATCCAAAGTGAATGCCGAGAGAGAACGACAACTCCTCAAATACAAGCAACAAGAGGAACAAAAGAAATCTCAGCAGCAGCAGCAACGCCAACACAGCACTTACCCACAATCGTCAGGTGACGGAGGTGGTTATTACGGAAGGCAACCACAGTCAAGATGGGACAACCGCAACGACCAAGCAAGAGGTCTAGGACACCAGGGCTACAGTTCCAGACCTGCAGTTCCCAAAAACAAGCATTTGGAAGCTGCCATGAAAGAAGAGGACAATGAGCGCATTCGCAGAGCCTTTCAGATTTCCAAAGATCAACATGTGGAAGGCCAGGCGTTTGACCGAGAATTCCAGGAACAAAAACGGAAGGCTAAGTTGGCAGAAAAGGAGGCTCAACAGAAAATGCTGGAAAAGGCAGCACGAAAACATGAGCGAGCAGCAAAACGTGCAGCAAAACAAGCTGAGAAGGAAAAGAAAAAGAGCCGTGGGCGTTCCAAGACTCGAAAAAAACGAAGGGAATCTTCCAGTAGCAGCAGTTCCTCTTCATTTTCGTCCCATTCCAGCTCTTCTTATTCCTCGTCTTCAAGAAGCAGCAGCTCCTCGCTTTCCAGGGATGACAATCGGGATGACAAGAAACGAAATCGTGGTAGACGCAGGCGTTCTCCCAGTGGCAGTAGCAGCAGCTCTTCTGGAAGTTGCAGCAGGAGTCGATCGATGTCGTCTGCGAGCTCCAGAAGCAGTGGTCGCAGGAAGCAAAGAGATTCCAAAAAGAAGAAAGATGTGGAGGGTAAGAGAGACAAAAGGCAACAAGCTGATGACAAAAAGGACAATGAAAGAAATGACAGCAAAGATCAGAATTCCTTGCGTAACTCTGATCGCAACAGAGAGGAGAAAGAATCAAAGCGGTGCCCAAACGACAGCAAGGAAAGTGACAACAAGGATTTGGACAAGAAGACAGAAATGAAACAGAGATCAGGATCCTCTGAACCGCGGAAGAGGGGGCTCCGTCGGTCAAGGAGCCCTTCGTCGTCCTCTCACAGTAGCAGTAGGAGCATCAGATCCAGATCATCAGGCTCTTCTCGAAAACCATCACCAAAAAGGAGAAAGAGACGAAGAAGATCGTCCTCACGGTCGTCTTCCCCGCCGTCACAGATCACTACCACAACAAAGACTAAGATTTCTGGGGAATCCCAGCAAGACGAGCCAAAGCAGAGGATGTCAGATGCCGCTTTGGATCGCTCTGGAAAGGATAGGAAGAAAGACGACAAACCTATGTCAGATCGTGACAACAAGGACAAGAATAGCCGTGGAGTAGAAGGCAAACAAAAGCGTCGTCGAAGCTCTCAATCTTCCATCAAGAAAGGCGACGCGGCAAAAGATGCAAATACAAACAAGAAAGGGAGCAAGGGTCGTAGGAGCCGTCCTCAAAGCTCTAGTTCGTCCTCTGGGAGCTCCAGATCCGGCTCGTCTCGGTCCCGAGGATCACGAGACAAGAAAGGGAAGCGCCCTCGATCAAACTCTAAACACAGTAGCAGCTCCTCCAGTGCGGGATCACGATAAGGTCGAAGTTCGAGGTTGCACGAAATTAAAACAATGGGAACTTATAGCAACAAGTGACGAGATGTATCCCAAAGAAAAGAAATCACAGCATGCACCCAGGATTGCTATTTTTTTAAAGTAAGACTAAATTACATGCAATAGATTCTCAACTACGGATTTGGTAGTTTCCAGCCTTGGTAATGTATCGAACCCATCGGTTGGTGTGGTACCCAGACTTATCGTAGACTCACAAAAAAGTGGAGATGAACTCCACTGGCAGTGAACATTGGAACTTGGAACTCGACGTAGATTGGAGGTCGGCTCCAAGGCTTGGGATGAACAGTGGGCATACTACTTCATGATTTGCCAGCAAATCACTGGACGCGCCACAGCGTGCAGGTCCTCCACACGAACAAACTTGCTTTTCAAGAAGAGCCTCGATCAGCACGAGCTCATCCAATCCCATCCTGACGAACCGAGATTCGGTCGCAGCACACAACCATGACGCCGTGACGCCGTCGGCAGCTAGCATACATGAGTTTGGGTGGGAGGTGGGAGTTGAGGTTGGGTGCTATGTAGGTTGTGAACGAGGACTTTGGCTAGGACTTGCACACTTGGTGGAGAGATACTGGGGCTTTTAGAGGGTGAAGAAGATGGGTCAATGTTTATGTATGTGTGGAGCTGAATGAGCAACACAGAGAGTGTTGGAGTGCACAATAGAAGGGGCAATGCTGGGAGTGCTTGAAGGTTTTACAACAAGGGGAACTGCTGTGAGCATGGATGGCTTTGCTATGGGAAGGAAATCTGAGTACGGCCTTTATCAAACATCATACCTGGTAACTTCATCTCCCTGAGGATTTGGACAATGCCACCACGCAGGCATGTCAGCACCATTCGTCGTATGAGCCTTCACAGCATTCTCGGTATCCATACGCTTGAAAATCCTGAACATACTTAACAGCGGGAGGGCTAACCACTCACTCCGCTGTCTGCGCACCGATTCGATTCACTCAAACGGGGCCATGCCGAGCAGGTCGCTAGATTTATGTTTCTGTCCCCTGTACATGGCTTGTCGAGATGTGGCATTTCAAAAAGCCAGGAAAGTCTTGAGCAAATCTGCAGAATCTCCTAACTGGAGAGAATTGAGAGCCACTAGAACTGATGCCCCCCGCAGTCTTGACCGGGCCTTCCTCAACGATTGCTGGATTTGAAGTCTCTGCAGGCGTTTTCTCGGCCATTGCCGAAGCCCAACAGGCACATCTAGGAAGAAGAAATCATATCGATTGAATCGTCCAAAGACCAACGAAAACCACTGCACCAGGTGGGGTTGAGGTGCCGTAGTCCCACATCACCGAAGAAATCTCTGGAGAGGCTCCTCGGTCAATCACTATTGGCTGTGCTTTCCACCTCAACGAGCTGTGCCCGAGTCATTCGGCCCATCGTGAAGCTCAGCCAATGCATAAGTTTTCCAATCTTTTGGATCAAGTAATGACAACAGAACGAACTAGTTGATTGTCCAAAGCGGCAAGCGTAACGACACCAAAGACATGGACGTGGATACCTGGTACCCACGGATGGGGAGAGGAATAAACAACCATCAACCAGCTCCGGAGACAACTTCTCCTCTTTCCTTCACTCCTCTCTATAACAGATTGCAATTATCAGCAAAGTTGTGATAGGCTGCGGATCACTGGGGGATCTTGCAGCCGTGGTCTCCGTTGATGCTGCGGCGAGTTTGAACGTTTCGTGCTTTTTTCTTGGCGCGCACCCCGAGTAGTCGAATTAGTCGACAAACGGATCTTTCGTAAAGGACACCAGTCCTTTTTGGTGCGTTGTTTTCTGTCAACAACAAAATCTTCACCAGCTTCTCCAGAACACTATTACTTGATTGCTAACGACGAACCGAGTGCTGTAACTGCAACGAATAGATCTATATTCAGAATGGTGGCCATCAGCAAGAGCCGCATCAAACAGCGCAATGCGTTTTCAAAGCAAGAGAAGCACGAGAGGTTGTTATTGATAGTGTTGGGATCGTTATCCATTTGTTGGGCAGGGTTGAAAGTGTTCAATGCTTCTGTTGGCGGGGACGGCTTGACCGGTGCTGTATTATCGAAGCGTCTGTCCGCAATGAAAGACAACCATGTTCATTTGAAGTTACAATCCAAGAGTCAACCCATGTTGAGTGAATCCTACAATGCCATTGCCATGGATATTATTGGCACCTTGGATTGCAAGACCCTTCTCAATAAAACCGTAATTATGCCCGGTGGAGGAGGAGGAATGTACGACGATTATGTTCCCGCCGACAATGAAAATCTAGATGGAGAACAACAAGAACAAGAACGCGTTCGACGACGAAGAAGGCTGGAAGAAGAAGGAGAAGCCCAAAAAACAGATGATGGTGATGACAGCCTTCGCAAAAACAATAATGAAGCGGGCGAAGATCCCAATATGGAAGCCGGTGCCAACGGCGCAGATGATGGTGTACGAGTGGACCCCAACTTTTCTGGTGACGATATGAATAATTTGGACAACTACGAGGACGTGACAGCCAAAGAACTCTTCTGTCTCGCCGCTGCCACAACCACCATGCCTGCCGAAAAAATTCAACAACACAAAGAACGAATTCAATGCGATGCCACTGGAACCAGACAGGAGGCTCTCTTGGATGTTTGGTCATCCGCACGGGCTCAAATGCCAGAATCTCTGCTTCTCAAGACGTTGGACTTGGCCACCGAAACGACTCGCACACTGGGAAAACACACCGTCAACCTTTGGAGTCCACGAAATGACGACGGAATGAATTATATCCTCAGTCAGGTCTCCAATCAAGACGAAACGGCTCGCGTCAACGGGAACAACTTTTTTGGACTCTCCCATAATTTGGGACCGGACCACCTCTATGTGGATGTGGGATCTTGTTTGGGAATTACGGCCTTGGCGGTGATTCTGGAATACCCCAAGACCAAAGTAGTATCCGTGGAACCAGCCGCTCCCAACTGGCTGATGCAGGAGATCAACATGAAGTGCAATCTAGACGAAGATCAACAACCTACACTATTGCTAACCGGGGTGGGACCTCACACCAAGGAAACCATGGCAGCCAAGCTTTTGTGGCGGCCGTCGGCTGTCACTGCCACGCGTGCATGGACACCGGCGGAAGAAAAGATTGCCGGAGAGGATGAAGAGCTGTTTGTGCAACTACGACCATGGAAGGCCATTCTAGCAGAGGCGGAGGTCCCCAGTTCGCATCATATCGATGTGCTACACATGGACTGTGAAGGATGCGAATACAAGTAAGTGGTGCAATGTTACGTTTGACTGCTATTTATTACTTTCTTCTAACCTGTTTTGGATGCTGTACGTTTCAGTTTGATCCCATCCCTATCAGATTCCGAATATGATTCCATTGATACGGTGATGGGAGACTTGCATTGGGGATACATTCCTCTCCACAAGCTTCCTTCTAGCAAACGTGGTGAATTGACGCACAATCGCCTCTGTCAGCATGAGAACTTTGCTCGCACGGCCAAAGAGTGCTGCGGCAATTTACACTTGCCAGTAAGGTCATCCATCCCGGGAGAGGTGCTCATTCTAGAAGGAAAAGACACGGCCAACGGAGGCGCCACGGTGGTAGATGTGATTGCGGACAATCTATGCGACGATTTCGATTTGTGGAAGCAGGAGCACCAGCTGTATGACATCATGGAAGACTACGGATGGTTTGAAATTTCCAGTGTCGCCTCCTAATTGGATTGAATCGAATCGTGAAGGGTAAAGTTTAATGCCAATCTACATATATCACTGCCATAGCTAGCCCAATCCGAGAGTCAGCCGATGCCTACTAGTATCGTCTTCCACAACTTAACAGGCCTACAGTGTACCGTTGGTTGAGTTGTTCCTTCTTTTCTGTCCACTCTCATCTTCCGGGAGTCACCACGATAGCGACTTCGGAGGGGGAGATCGCGGATCTGAGCGTTGAGTCCCTCTCAAGTTTTCATGAGAGCAACCGCATTCATTTCTCAATCCTTGGACCATCCAACACTCATCAAAGTAGCTTCAACTCACTTATCTCATTCTCTGCCAATCTGATCGAATCCAGAATAAGACCAATTGTTGTCAACTTGTTCTGATCCTGCTTTATTTCCTCCATGAGCGAGATGTACGGCTTCGCGTCCGATTTCTCTCTTCCCGATGATGCATCTCTCCCATCATCAACTCTTGGCTCTCTCCCTTCTACAATCGTCCAAACCAAAGAAGTTGCCGCTTCCACCGGGAAGAATTCCGCCGAAGAAAAGCTGCCGTTTAGTGGCCATGTCATGGACGAGAGCCCCTCCACTCAACAAGCCGAACTCGCAGCGAAGAACGTTGTCCTGGCCATGTCTACCTCCGCCGCGACCACTACAGCCAGCAAGGGTGCTTCAAACGGCCTGTCTGCATCGGCCCCTAGCAGCATTGAAACCTCGTCGACCGGGGTTTCTGACCTCTATGCGTCTCAGGAGTTTGGCAAACCCAAGATGTCTCCCAAGACAAGCAGTCCTGGTGAATTTGACAACGACTACTGTCCTCTCGTCACGTCTGTTGAGACCAACAAACGCTACAACTTTATGGTGGCTGGGGGCAGCGGTGCTGGCAAGTGCAGGAAAATCTGTGCTGCACTCATCACAATGCCATCATGTTGGCAGCATGCCACTCACATACTGCTTTTTCCTGCACTTCCAAGGCAAGTCGACATTTTGTCTGGAAACGTTTCGTCGCCACTTTCCCGACTTTTCGATGCAAGCCCCAGATGGTCCAACACAACAGGTGGGCGAATGTGGCCGCGGCACGACTGTCGTACGAAATGAAAGGATTGTTGTTACGGTAACCGACACGGTTGGGGGCTACTCGAAAGAGGCGCATATCAACCCGATTCTCGTTTACTTGGAGCTCCAGCATCGCAGGTACGAAGACATGGAACTTTATCGAAGGCCCAACGATCGGGCTGAGGATACGCGGGTTCATTGTCTCTTCTACTTCTTTGGGCCTCATCGGTAAGCTTGGCAACCTTGATCTTGATTGATCGCAGGAATGGTCCGTCTTCTGACTCTGACAACGCTTTCGTGAGCAGTGTGCACGATGACGACATTTATTTCTTGTCGTGCTTGCATGATAAGGTTCCAATTGTGCCCATTGTTGCAAAGGCAGACTCGCTCACGATCGTGGAGCTTGCGGAGCAGCTGCAATTGATCCGGACGAGGTTGGCAGATGCAAACATTCAGTATTTTGACTTTCAAGAGGACACCAATGAAGATTGGCTGAACAATCCCATTGATCCTCAGGCATTTCAAAACCTGGGAATGGTGATGGCTGGATCTGGTAACGGAGTAGATCTTGCACGCACCCGTCCCATGGTGCGCAATGTGTTTGCAATCATATCCAACCGTCGAGAACATATTTGGGGGACTGCAAGACCCGACGACGAGTCTCACTCTGACACTATACGCCTCCGCACGCAGCTTTTTGGATCGTTGGGAAAGTTGGCCAGCAAGACAGACGAGATACACGAGGAGTGGCGCATTGCTCAGAGTAAGAGACGAGGCTGCTTGGCGGCTCTTCCGGAACCCGAATTTGCTCTTGCCATTGCGATCTCTGTGGGGGTTGTGGTGCTGGCAGTATTGTACCTTTACTCCAAAGGCAATCTGGAGGGACTCCTAGTTGTGGAAGAAGCGTACTTTCCGTCTTTTTGATTCTGCTCAACTCCTTTTCTTGGTGAACACATATTTGATTGGATTGCTTGGCTTGGAGGGCTTCAGCCCAACATGAAACTTTATTCCTCAATTGAATCGGCTTTAGTCGCACCCTCGATGAGTTCGATGATACCCATTTCCCCTGTAGTCTTCATATACCTAAACAAATGAAGCCGCATGTTCTCATCCTCAACTAAGTACTAGTGCGGAGCATAGCTAGATAGCCATGGTCTTGGTAGCAGTTGTTAGATCTGGCTACGGCTGACTCATAGAGGAGTCCAGTCAATCAGTGGCGAAAGGAGCCAGGCGCAAGAGGCGACCACGGCAAGTCGGTGGCAGCAATTGGGCCAGAAGGATCCAGTTCCAGTTTTTACTCGTAGAGAAGGAAATCGGCGGCAACAAACGGGCCAGGCCGAGGAGATGCAGTTTCAACTCATGGAGGAGGAAGAGCCAATCAGTCGTTGGCGGTCCAGTTTACACTCATGGAGGAGGAAGGAGGAAGGAGCCGAACGCAAAAGGCGACGGCGAGTCGAGTCAGTCATCGTGACAATCACAACAACAAAAAGACCGGTCGATCGATCGATCGATCGCATGCTCCAGCACTAGCCACACCGACCAGTGGCCGGTAGCGGTAGCAGTGAACAGTAGCAACGACAGACTAGTAGCCGTACTAGTTGCTGGTGGCCGTACTAATAGCCTCGAAACGAAAAAAAGGACACCATTGTCCTTTTCCGTTAGTGGCTGCTCAGCCTCGTCTCCAGTGGCAGCCAGTCTAATTGGAGCATGTCTGCCACCGTACCACATTGCTCCGCTTTCTGTAACGGTACCTGGTAGCGTACCGTACAACAGTACAGTACAGCACCTGTTGCAGTTAAAAGATCCCGCTGGTTTTTGGCACGTCTTTCAATAAGTCCTTGGTTTCCATGTAGCGGTACGTACCACCTTCGAAGCCAGTTTGATCTTGCGTTGGCATCAAAAGCCAAAGACCTCGGTGGACTACCACTTGGCTTGGCCCACAATCATTCTATTCTACAGTTCTGGAATAGTTCTGGGTTACAGGAGGATAGTTCTGATTGTCGTCCTGTTGCTTTTCAGAGCTACGTCGTACTTGTTCACAAAAACGTACAGCACATTAGCTCTGGCTGATTAGCTATCCCTCTTTCAGGGAGCTAGCTGTGTTTTGGTTCAAGTTTCACAAAATAAGTGTCTTCATCATGTGCATCAGAGGAGGATACCCCTTGAATGCATTGGCAAAACAATCGCAATGTTCCAGCTCTTCGATGGAATGCGAAAACGAACTGCCCTCAGCTAGGAACCGCAACCAATCGTCCAGCATCCAAAGCAAGCTGGGGGCTAGTTCATCCAAGTCCACGATGTCATCAACCCAAAGTGATACAGATAGCCCCAAGCAACGACTAAAGCTACGGGTGACGTTTCAGGACACAAACATGGGGCGTTGGCAAAGCATGTTTTTCAAAGAGGGGTCTAGTGATGCAACCATGTCGAAACTCCGAAGGAGCCCACGGCAACCCGTTCGCCAGACCTCATTTTGTCGCAATGAAATTTGATTCAGGGCCCTGTAGGAAACCATTCGCATCCGATACCTGTCCATCAAGATCGACCACAGGGCAATTAACAAGTCCACTTCTTTGTGGAAAGACTTCGACCGAGATTCGTTCGCATAGCTGGCAGATTAGATAAAGATCCCCTAAATGTACCGTGTGACCAGAAGGCACAGTACCACCCATTGCGGCGGTTCAATCCAACAAACACCACAGGAGGACTGGGCAAACTACAGTGCGAATTGGAGTCATATCAGATGACATCAAGCTACGGAGGGGCCTTGAAGGCCGGTGGCAAGAATCGGGCTACGAGACACGATCCCACCAGCTAGCTATAGTGAGACGTCGAGATGAAGACTTAGTGAAGACTGATCTCATCAATAAAAATAGGAAATAGGTATCATACACACCCCGGCGGAATGAGTAGAGGATCCCACTACGATCCTCAAAGGGATATCCTCTCACACGGCATACGGTAGCTCTATACGACCAAGTGTCCAAGGCTTCCATAGATAATCCACCTACTAGTACGACTGTACTCTAAATCCCCAAACGACAAGTATCCAAGGGGTTGCATCGTTCTAGAGCAGTGTAGCGGTGCCGTGATTGTACGGTATGGTTTTCTGAAGATACGAGCTTTCAAGTTGGATGCTTAGCACGGGTGTAGTTGTTAAAGCCGGCTAAGCCAATTCTTCACTATTACATGTATGTCAAATGTTCTTACGAATGGGTTTTCGCTGTTAAAGCTTTCGTACCCTTTGCAGCCAAAAGAAGACCTCAAGAAGACCTCAAGAAGAGTGGCAGCGGAAGCACAAGCACAACAATCTACGACCATGACGCTCTTTCCTCGTCGACAAGCAACTCTGCCCTGTCGACAATACGAGCCCAGCACCATGACGACAATGAGAGGCCTCTTCTGTCTTCTTGTTGTGGCTGCGTCCGTGCTTCCTGAGCCTGTAGTCGGTCAACAACAGCAACTGGACCGTAATTCTTATGTTCCTTACCCTCATTCCGCAGACGAACTGTTACTCGAGGAGGTCGCCACAATTGGGTCACCCTTGGCACTGGAAGTGGTGACCAATGTGGCTCATCCCGAGCAGTCGAACCAAGTTTGGCAACTCCTGAAGGGAGTTGTTCGTCGCATGCATAATCAAAATCAAATATTCATGTCGATCCTCATTATACATCACTACTGGCTTGGACTATGGCTGCCGGCTCTTGCACTGGGATGAAGACACCAACACTGAGACAGAGATTGAAGTTGTCCCGTGCCCCAACACTGTGCTCTAGGAGCTCAAACCATGGACGGTACTGTGTCATCCCAGCTGAAGCGAGCGAGGATCCGGAAAAGAATTCACGCGGAAAGCTCCTTGTGGAAGAAACACTTCGACGAATTTGTTTTATTCAACTCTATCATGGCAGTGATTTGCGGTTTTGGTAAGCATTGAAACAACAACAACAACGAGCCAACGGAATAAATTGAGTCTGTGCAATGATTCCATAAAGAAGGAACACCCAAATCGATTCGCAGCTAACAGCTTGCCTCTCATCCATTCCCCCCCCCCCCGTTCTTGGCCAGGGAATATATGGAACATTTTGACTCGTTTGGATGCCACGATGCAGCCGATATGGCCACATGCTCATCACGTGCACTGGGTGCTATTCCTCGGGTTGAATACCGAGCCATTGAAAATTGCATGCACACGGCAGGAGGCCTCGAAGGAGATAGTGTCAATATTCACCTCAAGACCCACATGGACCGACAATTCAAAAGGACCTTCCCTTACAGCAGTGTCGATGTCCCCTTTGTTCGATTTGGCGAGCAAAAGTATACCGGTGTGAAAGATACCAAGCACATATTGGAATGGATCTGCAACACCTTTGAACTCAAAAAGGGTGTCACACCGGTTGCTTGCACGTTTTGTTCCCATTGCCTTGCGGTAGAGGCATGCCTGTGGTATTTAGATTGTGATGGGACACCCTTTACAGTGGAGGCATTTCAATCAACGGCTGCGACAACAGCTGTACCCGCAATAGACATGGAACCTGCCACCACAATGGTAACACAGCCTGCCGGACAAGAAGCTGCAGCAGTGACATCGTCGGAGCCTGTTGAAGCGGCACCCGGTGATGAAACAACGGAAATTGGCCCCCTATCAGCTACCACTGTCAGTGCTACAACTGCGGCGCCTGAACCGCAACAAACATCAGCCGTTATTGGAGACCTGGCTCCCAGCGATTTCGCCAATGGAGAAACTTTCATTCCATTCACTCACGCACCTTCTACAACATCTCCTGCCTCGGCTCCTGTCGACTTGAATTATGAAGTCTCGACAACGACCTCCTCTCATGCCGACACAAGTGATTACCACAAAGACAAGGACTCTCTCTACAAACAGGAGGCTACTGCAGATTATGTACTTCCTGTTATTATTGTGGTTTCCTTGCTCTCGGTGTACTTCATTCTGTCTTACTGCTTCAAAAGTTACAAGAACCGGAAAAAGAACGAGCGGCAACGAACTGCTGAAGCCTACTTTGATGACCTCTTAGAAGCGTCGTATGCCGACAACTTGGCAGTCAGTGGTAGAATTGACGAGGACAAATCCGATCGTGACTTTGAAGACGCCGGGCTCGACGAGTCGTATCGGTATCCCGATGAGGTTGATTACAGCAGAAACATTCGACAAGGCAGAGAATCCTCGAGTTCCGACGATGAAGAAAGCGAGGGCAGTTCAGCTCGTCTCAGTGCAACCAGAGAACCACCTAAGCCGCCACCGTTGTACTCGTTCAAGGTCCATCAGGTTTTGGGATAGAATCGGTACCTTGGCTTAGAATGGCGGAGATTGGGGATCTACGCATACACTTCATTAGTAGAAGATTCTTGTGTCAACTAGCTAGAAATCAACTCACAACAACGATGGCACACACCTCTTGTCCGAGAGGAAATTGTGCACGATAGCTTCGCTTTGCTTACAAATTGGAACCTCGCTGGCGGCGTGCCCTGCCGAATGCCACATGCCGCCGAGTTATTTGTGGCTACACTGTACGAGCTACCCGGTACTAGTATTGTACGAGTTGCCAGTACGTTCATGAAAATTTCACACCGGTAGATGTTGCATGTGCCCGTACCATACGATACAGTGCACTGTTTACGGTAGGCACGATCATACCATATCCTTTCAAGTCGCGAGCCCATGCCAGGATGCCATTTGGCGGTTCCAAGTTTGTCGTGAAGAAAATGATATCCAAATCTTTTGATTCATCCACGAAACAACTACTATACACAAAAGCGCAGGGACAGTACTACTGCATTCGCCACTTGCTTGTTCTGAACTCACCACTACTGCTCAACCTATCACACCGAACTCAGGCAAGTTTGTGTTGTTTCTTGCGACCACTACTACAAGTGTGGGTCTTGACAGCTGGAGATAGAGACGCTCTGCTGCGCTCAGCAAAGTTGGACTTTGGCGTTCTCCTCTTGGATCTTGCAAACAAACAATTCTTGTGGCCACACATACGGTCCGATACATGTGCACACAATTACAGAGGACTTGTTGGACATTCTAATTCTGCAGATTGCCCACCCATCAATTGAATCTGTCCTCGTCTCGACATGACGATCTTCAACACATTCGAAATCAAAATCGCCCTTTTGGGCTATGTCAGCGTTGGGAAGACCACAGTGTTGAATGCCTTGTTCAGAGACAAATTCTCAGAAGTCTCTGCTCGAAGGACGACGGCGGGTATCAACTACTTTCGTTGCATGAGTCAGGGCGCGGTTGCCCCAGGCGAGGTTGATACTGGCGAGACGTGGTCTCCTGTATCCGATGGGTCCACAGCAAATGCTCAAGAGGTGCTTCAAGAGATTGTTGAAACAAACAAAGTGCTCCGTGAGGCGAAAGAAATCCAAGAGAAGTGGTTCAACATCGAACTAGAAGCTCCCTTTGCCAAATCCAGAGAAGATACCAGCATCGTCGTGGTCGAGATACCGGGCCTCAACGAAGCTGGTTCGAAGTCAATTTTCTCCAACTATGTGAACGAGCACTGGTGAGCACAGCTACATGTATCTTTCGCCTGTTCTGCTCTGCTTTGGTCAACGTTCTAACTTGCTTCCTTTCAGGACTGACTTCGATTGCGTAGTGCTTGTGATGGATTCAAGGCAGGGAGTGAATACCGAAGGTAAGTTCAAAAACACCCACTGGCTTAGACTCGGATGATTGTTTGTTTGACCGTGCCAACCGCTCATTCGGGTCCAAATATCCGGTCATGCCTGATTACCACTGCTCCCTACCTTCTTTATCGTCTTGCGTGCAGAGCAAGTCAAGTTGTTGAGGATGGTGAAGACGAACCTGTCCAAGAAAGAAGTTCCCGTCATTATCCTGTTCAACAAAGTGGACGAGCCTGATGATGAGGAACAAGCAGAATTGCTGTCGGAAGCAAGAGCAAAGATCTCAGAGGTCTTCCAAGTTGGAGATAGGTCGAAGGCGTTGGAGGAAACGCTGAAAAACCCCAACATGTCTCCCTCGGATTACCCCACCTCGATGTACCCAGTGGTCATCCCCATCTCTGCTATCCACGCCTTCTTCTACCGGACGGCATCACTTCTTACATTTGATGAGTTCCGTGGAAAATTTGATATGAGCCTCATTGAACGAATTGGGCGCGAAGAGATGGGACGTTTCAAATGGAAGAAGCTCACAGAGGAGGAGAAATATTTGGCTGTCTATGAGGCTGTTCGGGAAGATGAAAGCTACGAAGAGCGACTTGCTGCTACCAACTTTGACAAGTTCCTATCAACACTGTCCCTTGCGGTGGGTGGCAATGAAGTGCAGACGGAGTTGCTGCTACGACAGCTGAACCTTGAAATCCAGCATCTGTCCACCAAGACTGCTTCCTCCGAGCACGTTCGCTCGATTTACGAGAAGACCCGAGTGTTGGGCAAAGATATGGAGGCCCTCAAGGGAGCTGTCTGGGCTGTTTATCGACTGAGCCGCGATGACGCCCTTGGCGAATATGAAGATGAGTACAGGCCGAAAGGTTTGCTCGAAGCCATGACCTTCCTCTGCAACTACTTTGCCTGCATTCATGGCTTGGATTGGCAAGAAGAAGAGAAGATGATCAAGCATGAGGCCAGGAAGCTCGTCCGTTGGCAACTCGGAACCATCATCAAGAAGCAGAATCTCTTGGAGTATGATGCTTTCCTGGGTCGAGGTCAGCAATACCAACTCTGCAGAGGTTGCAGGAAGCCTGTCGCAAACGCCAAGAGCTGGAAAAGCCTTTCAATTCATGATTGGATCTCAATTTTCGAGTCCACCTTGCTCATGTCCTGCAACCAATCCTTTTGTGAGTCCTTTGGCAGAGAAAAGATCGTGTTGTCCCAGCTGAAGGACAAGTTCATCACCTTCAAATCCAAAACCTGCCGCTGCAAGGTTTGCAGCAGTGAAGGTTTTGATTGCAGCAGTTGTGGAAGAAGCATGCACCAACCTGATACTTGCCCCACTGTCATGGAAACATGGAACGTGGAGTTTTTGGATGGAAGCCTGACCATCAAAGAAGGAGCCAGCGCCAAGAACTTCGTTACGATTCCCGCGCTGCTTTCAGATGAGAAGCACTTTGGGCATCTTGCTTGGAAGTGCTGCAAGCTCATTGATGCAATTGAGAAGAAGAAGTCTGCTCGCTCCCAGGGCAACTAAAGCAGCAGGAGCAAGAAACTTGTTGTGCTGGCCTCAGCTGAGAGGCTTGTGTTTTTTCTCTAGTTGGCTCCTTCTTATAGGTTCGTAAACCAAATTCATGACTGCAGAAATGTAATAAAGTTGAAACTTTCTCGGTGCTGGGTTCTAGAGTTCATTTTGTCAGAGTCTGACATGGAGTTCATCGTAACCATAGTCCACTTTCCGTTGCTTCTACATGTAGAGTTGGAAGAAGACGAATACTCACAAAGTCTTTACGTACAGCATTAATTCGTCTTCCTTTGTTAAGTTTTTTGCTGTTGGTTCCATGTAGTGGTCCTTTGTGGGTTTACATCACAGAACGCACTGCCAAGATCATAACAGAAGCCGAAAACACAAGACCACCAGTTGCGGCTGTGCTGCTCTTTTGGAGGTTGTTCGTGCCAGTTCCGCAAACGTAGCCATGTTCCTTGAAAGGATCTCTCAGATCTTCACTGGGGATCAAGTTTTGGACACCCATAGCTGTACAATTAGAGCTGGCGCATACCATAATATTGGATACTTTTTGGTCAATGATGTTGTCACACAATGCTTGATAATCATAGCTCCACAAGGTGCCCCCAGCGGTGGTACATTCATGCGTGTATGCATCCCTTGTAGTTCCCTGGCCAAGATAAACACTGCAGCGCTTTAGAGCATTTGTTTCCCAGACAAGGCAGTTGCTGGTCAGAGTACCAAGGACCAATGCAGAGTAATCGTCCTCAATTGGTTTGAGATTTTGATTTTGATAGTAAAGTGTTTGAGTCCATGCCCATCATTCCGGTTCAGAATGTACCTCAGCGTTGGAAACGCCAATGAAAGCGCATGCGAAGAGGGGCAAAAATGCGGTGGAGACGGCTTGCTTCATCATGATGGGGACGTCGTTGTTGTTTTTCAGTGATCGAATTGTTTCCTTATGAGTGCTACGATGGTTGTGCAAAAGGGCGTTTTGCACCTATTCGTTTGCACGATAATAAAAGGGTATCAGACGGCGCTCTGTGTAGCGGTGACCGAACTCGCAAGCTTCTTCAGCTGTGACTCAACAAACGTGTAACGATCGGCCCGCGCCAATTCAATATAACTCCCGTGACAGCCAATCGAAGCAGAATCGAATCATTCGAATGGAACATCGTTCGACCTCATCGCACCAAGATTGGTACCAGTACTCGGCCACAATGAGCTTTGGTGCGCAAGTGCAACGGAAAGCACTTTGGAAACCTGGCAGCAGTTGGTTCGATGCCGTTTGACTTTCAACTGCAATTTGACCCAGGAGAAGTTCTTCTTGAGAAGGTCGAAGATCTTCATGGATGGCGTAATAATTCAATCTTTTAATCGGATGACACTGAAGTAGGCAAATGGAGGCACACTGAACTGATTGAATCATTCAACTTCTGAGATTGTGGATACTGATATCTCGGTTTCACATGCCCAAACGATCCAGGACAAAGCCGGGAGGCCAGATACCAAGCAGCCAAGCACAAGAACCGCAAAGCAACGTATGTAGCCGGTAGCCTGAAACGAGGGAAACGCAATTCCTCGAGTGCCAAACCTTCACAACACACGAAAGTTTTTAGGCCTTGTCTGGGGGTGCATATCCACACATACACACATGACGTTGCCGGACATTCCTTCCGCAAGTCAGCAGTACCAGTACCTGCCAGTTTGTTCTGCTACCGGGTACTAAGTAAGAAGTGAGTAAAAAGTAATCGATCGAGACGCTGGAGCAAAAGGTACTACAGGGAGATGTTAAAATAAGCGGGAATTCTCCGTTTTTTAAACACCACCAGCTTTTTCCCTGCTTTGTTTAACACCACCAGTTTTCTTCCCCTTTTGTTTAACACTAAGGCAAACAAGCTGTAAACATGCTGTATCATGAAACCAAAGAAATAATGAGAGTTTTGATTCAGGCATCACAAGAAACTCTTGTTTCTCCAAATTGACTAAGTGTGTGTTCAAATACGGGACTGAAGGACAATAGAGCTAGGGAGCAAAAAGTGGATGTTAAAGCTTTGGGTAAGTGTGTGTTAATCACTGATGAATAAACTGGTGGTGTTCAAAAAAGCCAGAATTCCCGATTCTTTTAACATCTCCCTGGTAGCTACTAGTACGGCAATGAAAGACACAAAGACACCTTCGGGTCTTCGGGTTGAAGGTTATCGTTAACACGCATACAATGACCTGTTGTTGTACGGTGTGCGTGTACATGTACGTAGTTTGGTGACATGTACTGGTGCTGCCGTCAGTACTGAGTAGATTAGAGAAGCTATTAGAGAGTTTAAGAGTATTACTAGTAGACTCTAATAGGATTTTCTTTCCAAGCAAATCCAAGAACCAAGCATTCACCACGGTAAGCGGTACATAAGTGCAATACCACCTTGTGTGGGCCAGCTGTTTCCAGCACTTGTACTCCGCAGCGCACAATAAGTACGACGGCTCCACTAGGTTCCTTTCACTGGCATAAGCTGGACATACCAGCATACCAGGTGACCATATAACCATCGAATCCAAGCTAAGTAAAGTAGTAGTTAAATGCTGCAGTCATCTCTTGTTCACAACGGTCATCTGTGTAAGAATCAGGATCAGCTGTGACCCAACATGTGACTCAAATTTACGGAAGTAAAAAAATGGAGAGAGGCCACACTCACAATTTCCAGCAAAGCACAACAACAAGGCGTGAATATACTAGTACAACAACAGATACTACTAGAACTGACCATGACAACCGAAGCGGCCAATCCTCGCGCACTCCCACTGCGATGCTACAGTTCCTTGGATCCTGTCAAGGCGTGCACTCCAACCTTTTCTCTTTGTCTCTCCACAGAGAGTGCACATGTTCCAACGAGAAGCAGGCGGCAGAAGAACCCACGAAGATCCATCATGATCACAGCCAAGGACTTTGTCACACACAAGGTAGGGCATAACTTGCACGATGACTATGATGTCCAAGACATGGTGGGCGAAGGTGGATTTGGAGAAGTCTATCGTGCCATTCATCGTGCGACAGGATCGGAACGTGCTGTCAAGGTGTTGCCTCGATCAGCTGATCAAGAAGAGAACGAGCAAGTCCGGAATGAATTTGACGTTGTGAAGAACCTTGACCATCCAAACATACTGAAGCAGTACAATATGTATGAGTCTGACGACAAGCTCTACCTGGTCACAGACATCTACCTGGGAGGTGAAATGTTTGAGGAACTGGAAGAAAATGGACTCCTGACTGAACAAGATGCTGCTTCCTTGATGAATCATCTGCTGTCATGCATCCATTACTGCCATCAGAAAGGCATCTGCCACAGGGACGTCAAGCCTGAGAACCTGTTGATGAGTGGCAATAAAAAGTGGGAAGACATCAAACTGATCGATTTTGGATTGGCATGCTACCACAACGACGATGAGGATGAACCCATGACCGAAGTGTTTGGCTCTCCATACTATGTCGCCCCACAAGTACTGGAGGGAGAGTACACAAACAAGGCTGACATTTGGAGTTGTGGTACCGTCGCCTTTGTAGCCCTGGCTGGATACGCTCCATTCGATGGGGATTCTACGGAAGATGTGATTGATCGAGTTCACGAAGGTGTCTTTGACTTTGAGGATGAAGTCTGGGATGATGTTTCAGAAGACGCCAAGGATTTCATTCGGAAGCTGCTGACCTATGATGAAAGCGAGCGCCCCACAGCATTGGAGGCATTGCAGCATCCTTGGCTGGTGCAAGAACGGGAAGCTCACAAGCAACGCGTGTTCTCTGATTCAGAACGAAGGAGCAGCATGGAGGAAGTTCTTGCGGGTATGCAATGCTATGAAGCCAAATCCAAGCTCAAGCAAGCTACATTTGCTCTCCTGGCCAGTCAGTTCTTGTCCAAGGAGGAACGAGCAGAAATTGACGAGATCTTTCGTGTGCTTGATGCTGACTGCAGTGGTCAGCTGACCAAAGACGAAGTCCAAAAGGGCTTTGCAGACTTCTACAAGAATAATCTCAGTGACGACGAGATTGATTCTCTGTTTGCAAAGGTGAACTTCTCAAAGACCAACGAGATTTCCTACAGTGAATTTGTCTGTGCCTGCCTCATGCAAATGGATGTTCTCGATGAGAAGCGCTTGCTGGCTGCCTTTCGTGAGTTTGACCTTGATGGATCCGGAACCATCTCGGTAGAGGAGCTCAAGGAAATCTTTGGTGCTTGCAGGGACAATGAGGGTCTGGTTGACGATGATATGATTGATGCCATCATTGCCCAGGTTGACAAGACTGAAGATGGTGAGATCGACTTCGAAGGGTTCAAATCCTTCCTTCTCTCCCCTTCCGGTGAGCCCAGCAAAGAAACGTTGCAGCAGAGGCACAACAGCAAAGCAAGCCTTGGTTTGGATGACGAAGATGACATCTCGGAATTTGCCTGCGAAAGTCAATCCGAACTTTTTACCAAAGACTGTCGCTATTCTTTGCTCACTGCCTCGACTGAAATTTCCACCGGTAGCTCCCTTGAGTTTGACGATGGCTCCCTTGATGGGCCATCATTGTCTGGCGACGAAGACGGCACGTTTATTATCAAGCTATCAACGGTTGAGCAAACATTGCAACACGAGGACGAGGCATCGATAGCAAACGTTTCGGCCCACAGCCGCGAGTCAGAATACAGCACGAGTAAAAGAAGAGACGAACTGGCATCAGTATCGGTACACAAGCAACGTTGCATCTTTGAGGAACTGATTGCAAAGAACAGCAGCTAGACTCGCCAATGATGATAGTTGGTGTCACGGAAGCATTGAGCCTTCTGGCAAGGGGAAGTTTGAAACTGGAATTGCGTTGGGCGGATTGCACCAACAGCAACGTTGCGTAGCTACTAAAGAATATGCATAGTGTTTGTATTGACATTGAAACTCGACTCGGAAAGCGCTATCTATCGCCCTTGAACGCCCCCTTCGACGACGAGCTACCGGTAGGCAGATACGGTCATAATGGTGCAGGAGGAGGACTGGGCTTTGACTTGGCTCAATGAGGATCCACTGTACCGTAGGACAGTAGTCTAGTGGCTCTTTTCCTCCCCTCTAGCTAGCTAGCTATACCGGTACTGTTGCTTCCATCCCCCTTGGCTTCCATACTCTCTCTCTCCCCCCCACCCCCTGAATGTAAAACCCGTGTTCCCAATTCCCAAATTCACACAGCTGATTTGGAACCTCTTGACACGTCATTTCAAAATTCTGTTGCTCCGCATAAAGCATGCTATCCAGAACAAGGCAAACTTGGCGACGATATCTCCTTCTGGTTGCTTTTGTCTTGAGCAGAAGGTAGAGATCATGGAAGGAGCAGAAGATAACTGGGTGGAAGTGGTAGCGGAAGAGGTGCCTGCAGAGAATCCAGAAGCTGGAAGAGTGGAGGGTGATGCAATAGAAAACCAAGCAGCCGACAACAATGTCCATTCTCGCACTCGTTACCCCGGCTATAAGGAGAGGATGGCCATCACGGATCAAGAGCGGGCGTGGGCTCTGGCCATGAAGGCAGCCATTGAAGGATGTGCTGATCTCGACAATTTGTCAGATTTTGAGTATTGCCAGTTGGCCCTGGTCGAACGAGACAGAGTCGAAGCTGCTATGGACAGAGCTCGCCACATGCAAGCATTCCGTCAGGAGTATGGCCTTCGGGGCACGGTGGCGGAAGCCACGCAACTGCTATGGGAGTATGTTCATCTGATGCCCGGGCATTTTCTCAGCTTTTCCTACTCCTATGACCACGGCTCGTATGTCTGTTGTTGCGATGCCAAAAAGTTTGATGAAAGTGTATTGACGTCAGAGGAAAAATGGAGGACATGCCTTTGCGGGGTCTACCTGTTGTACCAAGCATTGAATGCGGACATGATGAGCATCCGGAACGGGGTGATATTCGTGTACGAGTGTGAGGGATTTAGCCTCGGTAGCATGAGTATGAAAACCGCCCAACGACTGTGTACGGAGGTCTACGGCTCTTATCCAACACTCACCAAGCAGATGAAGTATTTCCATTCTGGCATGGTCTTCAACGTGCTCCTTTCCTTTTGCAAGCAGTTCTTGCCTAGAGATTTGAAATCCAAATTCGAAACCGGAAACTGTTTTGAGGGAAGACTTGACACCTATTACCTCGTTCCCAACTTGGAATCGTCACACGCACGATTTTATGCCCGAATATTGGAAACTATCACTCGACGATACCATGAAGAAGAAGTCTTCCGACTGTGACCTACTATTGACAGGTTTATTCTGGCTGTGGTTCGGAGCTACAGTGGCTACTCATGCCATTTTTGTTGTGCATTCCGTGTAGAGTTTTCAGTTATGTTTCGTTACATCGCTTCGTCTCGTGACTCCAGTCCATGCAAACTTCTGTAGTCTTAATCGAATAGTCACCAACCAAAATGCAAGAGAGCAAAGTACCAACAAACTTTCGCATTCGACTGGGCTGCGTGATGGATTGGACTGTGTCATTCTGGCTACTTAGGCGAGTTCTGCCCGCGGTGGTGTTCAAGCTGGGAACTGAGGAGAAAGTAGTAATCGCAACCGTGGCTGGAGCTAGCAACAAGGATTGCGTCCTGAAGGGAGCCAAATACCGGTATCGGGTGCCCGCACCTGTGCTCGCAAACTGGCGAGAAGAAAATCGCATGGTAGAACAGATTTCAAAAACTACGCACTTAACAGTGTACACAGTGTACTCAGTAAACTGAATTACTAATAGTCGCAACTGCCATTCTACCAGTTCCTCCAGTTGCTGAATGGTCGCTTGGACCAGGCACGTTCTGCCGCCTCCTCTTCATCATTCTTGTGGTCATCTGTCAAACTGTTCTCTTCTGGGCGGAAACAAATGTATGCTGTTGCTCCAACTATGAGGGAAGAAAACAAGACAGCACAGGTCAGCAAGCAAAGCCTACAAATACACCAGCTGCCCAAAGATCCTGCCAGTCCACTTACTGGCACCAACAGAGGCTAGCGCTTCGGCTCCAGTCAAACCAGCAAAGATAACATTGGCTACAACGCCCACTTCGGCTCCAACAGCACCCAGAACAGCACCCACACCAGCCAGGGCAAATGGCATGGCAATGGTAGTGCCTACAGCAATCGATGTTCCCAGTGCAAAGGTTTTGAGTTTTTCCGAACTGACTGCTCGCGGCATGCAGGGTTCCAGCCTCCAAATCTCTCGCTCTCCCATAGTCTCGATACCGACCAGCAGTCCCACGTTCTCCTTGTTGCCTCCAAATAGCTTGCTGAAATGTCCGTCCGCATTGTCGTTTTCACCTTCGTTTTCCACATCTTTGGCTGTGTCTTCATACGAAAGATATAGATTATGGTGCTTGGATCGAAAGACACTTCCACCCTCCTGGTAGGAAGGCTTTTCCATGATCCACTCAACGCTCAAGTCTTCTGCACTGTTGACGAGGTCAATGTTGCCATCTGCATTGCAGGAAATAAATTGTTTCTTTTCTGTCAGGAAGAGTTTGGTGATGCCGGTTTCCTCCCGTACCAACTGGATCTTGTCAGTTTGCCTCAGATTGGCCGTGACTTCTGGGAACTGTCCAATCGATCTTGGAGGCTCTCCTTCAACGGCGCTGAGTAGATAGTAGGTTTGCGAGTGGGCCGCCTCTAGCTGCCATACTGTAGTATCTTTCTGGGGCAAAAAGATTTGCTCTCCGGATTCTGTTTTGACACTGGCACTGCTGAACCGCTTTTGCATACTCTTCACACTGTTCCTCATATTGTTGTTCATGGTCTTGACACTACTGTTCCACCACTTTTTGGCGCCGTTTCCAGAATCCTCAGTTGTGGGTTGTTGCACTGCACTGCTCGTCGCAGAGTTGCCAAACATCTCAGGGATACTCTCAGCAGGATCATACGTCTTCAAGAATCCTTCGTGGACACTGAGAAGTCTTCCATGTGTCTTGTTTCGGATAATTACACCCTTGGGACCATCGCCACCATTGTCGGGTGCTTTTTCAATGGCCCATTTGGGACAACCCTTAGAATTGTTTTCCAAGAAAGATTCGGCGTGGCTGCAGGTTGACACAGTTCCATCTGCATTACTGCAGAGCAACCATTGACTATGCATCCAACTGGAAATTTTGACATAACCATGGCTGGCCTCCATAAGCCGAAAGACTTCCCATCCTTTCCAAGAATCGGTCAGTGACATGAGCCCGGCCATGTCACACCGAATCCGAGTGTCGAGTGTGGGATTGGAAATGAAGCACAACTCACCAGTCACGCATTCAATATCCCAAGTAATGGTTTTTGTAGGATCATCATCTGGATTGTCCGACGCTGCAAAGACAATATTGCCATTTGTATCAACGCCCAGATTTTCTCCAGTCCGAAGAGACTTCAACAAAACTTCGTTGCGACCGTGAGTGCCCTTGACAAAACACCACTGGCGATCAATCTCAGAAATCTCCGAATTGGAAATGGCAGGTTCATCCTGGAAATCTTCTTCCTCTTCATCGGGATCTGCTTCCGTGGCACTAGTTCCATTGGTGGTAGCATTGTTGTCATTTTTTGATTCGTCATTGGACTCCTTCTTCTTTTCCTCTTCTTCGTCCTCGTCTTTGACACATACAACTTTCCGAGAATTGTCATCTTCCCCCACCATCACACTGAGAGTTCCTCTAAATTTATGGTTGACGATTTCCACCAAGGCTCCGTCATTTTTGTATTTTAAGCGAAATTCGTCTTTCGAAGATCTAAAAAGATGAAGAAGAAGGCAAAATTTAGTGGCATCTTCAGAAACACAGCTCTTGTACCTTGAGCATCCACTCTTACCGTTTTTTCCGAGCGATTACACGACCATTTTTCAGCCCCCACAAATAATATCCATTGCAGTGTAGAGTCACTCGCAGTGGTTGTTCTATACACGGGAAGACTGTGTTTTTCGTGTCTGTTCCAATATTTTGTTGGGTGGAAGATTCTGGTGCTACTTCATCTACTACTGTTGCTGGCACAGACGGCTCTGAGGATGGAGTATATTTTTCAGGCTCTGACGACTCTGGTGTCGCATCTGATGGCTCTGGTGGCTCTGATGAAGACTCGGCCGTCTTGGGTTCTGCAGGCGCCGATGCTGCAGGCTGTGGCTCATCTTGTGGTGATTCTGCAGAAGCGGGAGAATCCGCTTCTGTGGGCTCTGATGTCGTTGTCTCGTTTGCAGACTCTGAGGGGGTCAACTTGTCTCCTGAATCGACAGCCGGTGGCGGCGTAGCTTCCTGGTCTTCCTCGCCCATGGTGGTCATTGTTTTCGAGGACCGCGCTTGACTTCTTTGTCTTTGCCTTCGGCATTCGGGCGTTGGGAGCTTTCAATAATGTAATGCAGCAAGGCTGCTAAATTTCTGTCTTTCAGATACAGGCCTGCGTATTACTCAGCCCTGCAAACCTTGTGGGTTCAAATCAAATGTCTGGAGCTGCTTGGTAATGCGGAGGTGTCACGCCACCATGCCGTCGCCCACAGCACGGAGCAAGCCTGTGGAATCAACTGGTCACCGAAAAGACACTCACTGCGTGTAAGTTTCACTTCTTGCTGCTTTCTCGTTTTTGCAAACAGGGAGCACGCATTGCGGAAACGATATCTTTTCGTGCTGCCAGGCCAAAGAAATGTACTTCGGCTAGTTATCGGTTCATCTCATGACTACATGTGGCCATAATTTGGGGATTAATCGTTCTAGTGTTAGCGGCGTGTACGTGTGTAGAGTAAAAGTAGACGGAACAATTGTGTGCACCACATCAGCTCTCCAAGGCTTCAACTACTTCTTCGTATCGAGCATTGTACTTTTCAATTCGCTCTTCGAGTGATGATGGATCGTCAATCAGTGCCATCAAAGGCGAGGGAGATCTTACGTCCTCGGTTTTGGTCCCGTCGGCGTCCTCTGGCTTGTCGATCACTGCACTCACTGGTGATTGAGGTCTATCGGTGCTGCTTTGCTTTTGAGCAACTTTAGTCGCGTCAACATCTTCTTCTCCCTCCTCCGTGGGCTCCTCCACCAATGCCATCAACGATGGTTCTCGTGGCTCAGACTTACTGGAGCTTCGCTTTTCTGCTTTGGTTTGTTCATCGTGCTCATCAGCGTCCTCCGCCGGGTCCTCCACCAAAGCCCTCAATGCAGGCGGTCCATCCAGCACAGACCTACTTGAACTTTTCCGTTTCAAGGCCTTGGAGGTTGTCTTGACTGCAGTCTCAGCTTCTGTCGGCTCCTCAATCAGAGCCCTCAAAGCGGATGGGCCTTCCATCACAGCCCTACTGGAGCTTCTTCGCTTAAGAGCTTTGCTCTTGTCACTGTGTTGTTTCGCAGATGCCCCTTCCAGCACAGCTCTGCTGGAATTTCCACGTTTCAGGGCTTTGCTCTTGTCCTCCTTTTCCGCCGTTGTGGGTTCTTCAATCAAAGCCTTTAAAGCAGGGGGGGCGTCCATCACATTTCTGCTGGAGCTTTTCCGTTTCAAAGCTTTAGCGTCGGCACTGCTCTTCTTGGACTTTTTGTCCTTGCCGTCTTTCTTTGTTGTCAGTTCGGCGCTGTCGCCATGACTGGATGATTTCGAGTCGAGCGTTTCAAGGTCCGGCAGATCGTCGTTTTGCTTTCTCGATTTGCGTCGTTCCTTGCGTTGCTTCTTGACTCGTTCGTCTTCGGCTGCTTTGAGTTCTGCCTGTTCTTTCTTTTCTTTGATTCGCTCTTGCTCTTCCAGAACTGTCTTTGCTTTGAGTTTCTTCATCTTTTTCTCTCGCTGCTTTTTGAGCTTGCGAACCTTTTCGATCAACTTGGGGTTCTCCTTGGCCAATGTCGGGTGATCTTCGAGCATTTTCAGGATTTTGGCGATGACTTTTTCTGTCTTTTTTCGTTCATAGCGCTTGATCTTGCGCTTTTCGGTCAAGTCGGTAATCTTTACTTCGGCCTGTTGGATGCCCTCGGTGTAATGTCCACTGATGCGCGTCCAGTCCCCGGCATCCTTTTCCAATCTTGCCACTTCCTTTTCCAAGCGGGCGGTTTCAGCCTCTTGTTGTGGATCCCGAATGGCCAACTGTTTGTTTTCGCGCTTCAGCTGTTTATTGTCTTTCTTAAAAGTTGCATTCTCTTCCCTGAGTGAGAGCATTTCATTCTTCATGTCCTCAGTTTCTTGTAAGTAGGCTTCCCACTCTTCGGGGGTCCATTTGTTGGCGTTCCATTCCTGTTCGAGCTGCATGCGGAAATGTTCCTTCTCGTCCTGGATGAAACGTTCAATATCTGCCAGTTCCTCTTGTCGGCGTGCCTCGGTGTCCTTGACTTCATTCTTGAAGTAGTCTTTCTCGGCATTGTACTTGCGGAGCACCAACAGAGATCGTCGCAAGAAACGTTGAATCTTTTTGGCAGCATTTTCCAATCGAGATTGCACCACCTTGGTCATACCAAACTTTTCATCGGCAATGACAAAAATGCTCCCGCGGCCCGTGTTTCGTCGTCGCGAAGATCCTCCCAGGCTGACGGCCGACTTGTCCAAGCCGTCATCAATATTGTCGTCGCCTTCCTTTTGGCTGCTGTCGTACAATCCAATATTGCGAAAGCTCATATTGAAGGATGTGGATTGTCGTCGTGCCATGGCTCGAAAGTTTTCGCTATTGCCCAATTCGCCGAGATTGTCATCACCGTTATTAAAGGAATCATCGTCATCATCATCGTCCGATTCTTCCGAGGACGAACTCATGTCGAGTTCTTCCAAGGCTCCTCCCCAGGATTCATCCATGAGATTAAAGGCACTGCTGGAGCGGCTAAAAGACTCTCGCAGTTTGGCTTTCATCATGGCCACACGTCCACTGCCGTTGCCCATGCTGTTGTGTGATGAGCCCAAGCAGTCGTGCGACGAACCCTCATCGTCAAGTCCTTGTGGTTGTTGTTGCCTTTCGCTACATCCAACTTGGTATCCCTGGCAAAGGAAACAGATCGGCGGAGACTGCTGCCCATGTCACTGGGGTCTTTCATGGAAGTGCGTCCATTATCGTCACGTCGCGAGCTGCAATCCATGGTGTTGCTCGTAAAGGCAACCGACTTGTTGTTGCTTTGGCTGTGGCGTGGAATGCTGCTGCCACTGCCATTTCCTCCGTCACTTTCTGTCTTGGTTGATATGTTACTGACGTGAAGAGATTTTTCTTCCAGACCACTCTTATTGTCTTTTTCCTTCAAATCGGCCGTTTTCGTGTCGGATTCGTAATGCTGACAATCACCACGCTGCTGCTACGCCCACCCATGCTCCTCTTGGATCTTTCTCGAATAAGCGTTTGGGGAAGGTTCGTCGGCTGGTTAGCCGACAAAATCAACTGCTTTCGATCGTCAATCTTCATGGTGCTCGTCGAGTTTTTGCTTGCTGTTGCCACTGATGATGATACTGCACTCGTCATGCAGAAAAAGGAAAAGGGTTGTTGCTTGAAATTGTGAGCTACGTTCGCCATTTCGTACCGATGCCGCGCGGCATTGGGGTGTTTGGTTTTGCGGTGACCATTTGGTGCCAGGCATCATAATCCTGACGCCACACATTGATAAGATGAGTGACTCTGGTACCGGTATGGGCTTAAGTCCTGATCTTGAGATTTCAGATGCTCTTGACAAGATTTTGGCTTTGGTCTTGGATTCAATTAACCGAGAGTGCTCACTCAAAACGGACGACCCATACTTATTACCGAATGTACGTAACCTCCGTACTTAGTGTTGTGACATCGCAGTCTTTTTTCAATGCCTGACTGAAAAGAGTACAGTCATTTAGCCTTATCTCTACTAGTAATGCATTTTATAGATAGATAGAAGGCCACACCAATCGCAGTCGTACTCTAGCTAGTAGACTAGAGTGAAATGCGATTTACGACCGACCTTTCCGTGGATTATTCTCTTAAGAGGTGGATCTCGAATATTGTACTTCTAAGTAGCTGAATCGAAAGGGCACATGTTGTTGAGTATCCCATTAAATTCCCAAGATCAGAGTGTGCTTATTGGTGGAGTTATGGTTGATTAAAAATATCCTCACTTTTGTGACGCATTCTTTTTCTCTGCAGTTTAAGACTTTACAGTACTTAACTGTGTAGGATCCTACATAGGAGAGTCCTGTAAGATCCTACGGAACACTTAGGAAGCACCTCTATTGCTCTGGTACTGAAGCTACGTAGGATCCTACGTAAGAACCTCTATTAATTACACGGTCTTAATCTTCACCCGGTCTTAAATTGACTTTTACTCTACTAGTACTCTAGAGTACAGCCGTACCGGCAAGGTCCGAAATGATGATACTGGATCTGTACATGGATGTAGACTGGTACATCTACTTGTAGCTTGTAGAGCAACCATTGTCGATCTCAGGCGAGGTCCTATCCAAACTCCATGTGTGTCCTCCGTGCATTCGCGAAACACATTTATTTTCGTCGATTTATTTAGGCGTACGTATCAAGATTTCATTCCTATCCATGTGACACACATACGCGGTACGCGAAAGAAACATCCTTTTCTGTGAATACCGTGTGAGTACCGGTTTGCCAGGTAGTCCCGTTAACTCGGTGAAGTACTGTGATTTGTATAGTAAAAACTGGTACGTGCGCGAGATCTCACTTTTCGATTTCGTAGAGTTTTCGTTAGAGTTGGGGATTTGTGACTGTGATTGAGTTCGGCTGGCTCTAACGTTCTGATTGGTCCTACGCGAAACCATTTCCACGAAAGCTACGGTACGGCGAATTGAGAATGGGAATCAATGGTTCGCCGTACCGCAGCTTTCGTGGAAATGGAGTTGAAAGCAAGCCAATTTAACAGTTAAATTGATTCACGTTTACGTCGGAGAAAGAGGTGCAAATACCTGTGGTTAGGACCAACTCTCAAGGACTTGACTCTCTCCAGAACAAGGCGAATACCCCGACCCCAGCATAGCCGTTGGGGGTACCGGTACCCGATCAAACCCTGGCCTGGATCAGCTCGCTCGAGTACGCTACCGTTAGGTCCCAGCCACATCACCTGCTTGGCACTCTACAACCTTTCACCCCGCTCCTGTCCCACAGAAACCAACTTTGCAGATACACACTCTCCTTTCCAAGCAATGGAATCGAATCGAACTCGATCAATCTATTTTTTGCTCGCTACTGCGAAATCATCTCGGCAATCGGTCCATCGTCGTTGGGACTCCATGCTCATGTGGGATCTTGCTTCCGGTTCCCACTTAGTAGTTCTTCTTTGCATTTTGCCATGGCCAGCGTTGTTACTAAGGTGTTCTCTTGCTGTGGCTGCTGCTGCCCTGAGGTCTGTCTATCGTTGGACGATTCGGAAGGGGTCGACAAGTGGTCTACGGGAGCTCGGAGATGTAAAACGCTCATAAAGGAAGAGAACAAATGAAGAAAGAACGTCGGTGGCTAGCCAGCTCGTTGGCTATACCATCGAGGCTTCAATGGGTTGACGAAGCTGTGACGAGTGACGAGCAGTCCCCCTGTAAATATATCAATCTCCATCGTTCTCCTTGCTGTCTTCGCAAAGCAGACTTCTGCAGGTTGCTTCCCTACAGCCATGTACTAGCTACAGGGCATCTCCTTTGTCATTCCTCGGCCACACCTGTTAACCTACCAGTATGTGCAAGTAAAGGAAAAGGAGTGCTTGAAGCGAGCACCAAAACCAATATTGGTTACCACACAGACACACCTGTTCGCCACCTCCAATCCCAAGAAGCCGCAGACCAAATCAATTGCCTATTCCAGCATCCGCCGTTAGCTCTCAAGATACGTGTATCAATGCGAGCCTCGATTCAATACGGCTTACTTAGACTTGGAGTCTGCAGCTAGCTCTGCGCTCTTGATTCCTACATGCGTATTGTGTTTTGCTCGTGTTCTTTCTTGCATACCGGTACAATGTATGGTATGGATCTGAAGGTGCGACTTTCCGACAGAATCAGATCATCGCGTTTCTACGGTGTCTATCAATCCGGATACACTTCCGTCGCGGCTTAATTACTAGTAGGCCAGCTAGACGGCTCCACGGTTCTCGAGGTGCCATGCCGGAATCTTGCTATCACACGTAAGTAAATCACAAAGGCCTTCCTCATCGATGCAGGAGCTAGGAGGCAACCTCAAACAATTCCCCAGTTCCTCAATTGCGCAGGCTGCAGTCCCCAGGTTCCGGTGGAACATCCACCGAGCAACACTCATTTCCTTCTCACTTATTTCTTCGTATGCTTGACTACCGTAGCTGTCTCTAGTAGGTCAGCTGTCAGCTACTATCAACTCGCGTCACTTTCGGATTTAGTTAGCTAGTTCGTTAGTTTGCGTATTTCGTTCTTTTTTCTGACCGAACGTCGGTACATGAATCGTAGCATCCAGCGTGGTCCTCTCAGAGCCCACTTACCCATAAATTTTGGCCCATTGGAAAACTCAGCGACCATCAAGAAAACATGAACAACGAAGTGCAAGGGCAGGGTGGCCATGGCCACGGACGCTCGATGCCAGAGCTGTTGGCTGAAGGCTTCTTTCTTCAAATCAACGTGCGTATGCTCATTTGACAACGAAGAAACGACTCAGCTCGGGCAATCAAGACTGCAATCGGGCCGATAGACGACGACCTTGCAGGCCTCTCTCCGGTAGAGATCCTACATGTGCTCTAGTCGTTGCTGCACACTATGGCTAGATGCATTCTTCTGATGATGCACTAAGAAACTGTAAACATGATG